ATTTGATCACGATTTAAATACAGTATTTAGTTTTAATATTACCGATATGTCATCGAAAAGAAAACGTGTTATATTATCATTAAAAGACAAATTAAAGTATTTGTTTCGATTATCCGGATTTTTCCTTATCCGGACTACCTTCATCCCCAATTAGTCCGGATAATCGAGGTTCTACTGTATTTATAAATACGTATGTCAAGTTATATTTTTATTACGATGCAAAATATATTTAAGAGTTTACGACCATTGTGCTGGGTGAGACGTTGTTGAAACAAAAAATGTTATGCATTCCATCACGTACATAAACAGTGTCGTAATTCGCCAAGTGCAGATCAGCAAATTCGTAAAATTTTTGTTTATTTTGAACAATCCGGATGATCGAAAATCCGGATAATCAAGGTTCTACTGTAAATAAGTTACCAAAATTAACTGTGTTGAATGTGACAAAAAACAATCAGCTTAGTTTAATCAAATGCTTTTGAACAATTAACTAATTGGTTATTTACAATTGCACCAAACACATTTACATGCATAGTTTGAAAACTAAAGCATGACAGATCACAATTTGACCTGTCATGCTACATCCCATAATGCTTTGTTTAACAATGCTAAATGCCAATACTGGTATTTAGCAATGCTAAACAATGGCACACCAAATTTTAGCATCAGTTTAATTCTGCACATGTACCACAGACAGTTACTGAAATCAAAGATAACTTTAATTGGACTTAAATATAAATCAATGCTCAAATATAGCTCAAGAGTACATTTTCCTCTTTAAAACTGAGAAGAAAACATCAACTAATATATGGTCAATACAATATTGTCCGCTGATGATAATAATAATTGGTTAATTGGGCTGAAAACTGAAAAAATTGTAGATCTATAAAATCCCACTGTCATCCATTGTCTGTCTGTCTTTTCTAAATCTCAAGAATGTGTTGGATAAATGAAATTCAAGACCATATATGGAAAGCTTATTGGCTAGAGGCCCTAATTAACTATATACGAACTTCCAATGCAAATCAAAAGTTGCATTATTTCAATTCAAAAATTCCCTTGAAAGGAGTTAGATGACTGGCACAATTCCATTGCTAACAGAAAAGTATGATGTACAGGGGTAAGACACTACAGTACTAATTTGAGATGGAGAGTATATATTTTAAATGAAATAAATTAAAAATTACAGTCTGGCAATATGACAATGTCATTTAAAATAATTTAATTAAATTCAAGCAAACCTGAAAAATAATAAAACAAAGTAGGATTCAAATCTATAACTCTCAACAAAAGTATGAATGTACCATCTAATTTTAATGAACTAATTTTTGTGGAATAATCAGAAAAGTAATACTATTCGTGAATAAATAAATTCCAAACAAAATAATAAAATACAGTGGTACCTCAGGATACAAAATTAATTCGTTCCAAAACTGAGATCATATCATGAAAATGTTGTAAGGTGAATCATTTTTCCCCATATGATTACATGTAAAACCAAATAATTCGTTCCAACACGAAAAACACACTCATATTAAAGCTAAGTTGTACATTAAAAAAAAATAACTATAGTAAGGAAAACACTGAAAAGTGAATACAAATTTAGTAACTAAATACTAAACTTTTAAGAATCAACTGTATTAATTAATAAATTATCACTTAGCTAAATATTTAAAATACTTAAATAGCTGACTAATTAATTTCTATGTTCTTACCTCTTCAATTTCAGAGGCATAATAAACATCATTAAGCAATACAGAATGACTCAAAACTTTTGTTTTTTCTGCTGAAGTAACTTGAATGGCAGTTGGTCCCACCTGTAGAAAATTCACATTTTAAAAGGTTTAGAGTTTTAATCAATATTTTATTTTACAGTTAAAAAGTAAAATTTTTTTACTATTATTTAGTTTTTCATTTCACTAACATTGTTAACCTCAATTATAAAAATGAATTAGTCACTTTCATAAAGTTAGTAATCAACTTAGTCTTCCCAATTTTTGACAATTGCTCACTTAGTAGAGACTCATAGGAGTAAAATACAGTAGAACCTCGATTATCCGGACTAATTGGGGATGAAGGTAGTCCGGATAAGGAAAAATCCGGATAATCGAAATAAATACTTTAATTTGTCTTTTAATGATAATANTTGTTTTATATATATATTTTTAAATTTTTATTCACTGCTTTTTGTTTTCTTTCCTTCACTTCTACCAGCACTTTCACTGGATAGAGGTTGCTTGGAAATTCTCAAATATAAAATCTAACTTCAAATTGCTTTCCTCAGAGTATAAATTTTAGAAGCTTTCAAGTACATCCATAGGAGTCAATTAGAGCATGATGTGCTTTTAGTCCAAAAATGCTTGAGGTTTTCAAAACTTTTTACTTCAAGAAAAGCAATTTTAATTTGATTATAAAATTTAAGTTCACTCTAATTTTTATTTGTTGTGTATAATATTTTGGCAAATAGAACTATAGTCTTAATTTATATAAAAATGCTTGATTATCAGATATATTACGATGAAATAAATTTGAATTTCCATATTGGATTATAAAATCTAAAGACATTCTGAACATAAAATAAGCTTACGAATTGATTCAAACAAATATAAATTCAATTTACCACAAATGTTGTATAAAAAAACAACTGTTGAGGAACAGGTTAAAATTTGATAACTTTAATATACCAAAGTAGAAAAACTGCAATTTTATTTCATCTTATGCCAGAAATTAAATATTACCTGTTAATTGCCTTTTTCATATTTCATGTTTGATAAATTTATTTTCAACTGATGTTTATTCAAAAGATTTCTGAAGGTTTATAACTCAATTTATTAAAATTTCATATTTACTTTGTATTACAATTACAATATCACATTTTTTCCAAAAATGAAATTTGGAACTTTACTCTTTAATACTGCTATTACTTAATATTACTAAAATTGAGTTACTTCAAAGAAAGATTCAATACTGAATCCAGACAGCTCTGAAAAGAACTCTCTTCTTGGAAAATATGCAATCAATTAGAAACTTTCTTTTCTACAATGTAATCTATTATATAAAATTGCATTGGTCTCAATGACTGTCTGACAGACATGAAATGTTTGAACAGCAGTAAATTCTTGATAGCTTTCAGAAAAACATCTTTATTAATTTACTCTGCATCATTTTAAATTACATTTTCTTTTGTCTTACTATGAAATATTCTTTATTAAGTTTTAAAAATATTAATTAAAGCTATTTAAATCATTATACAGTAGAACTCTGATTTTCAAACTTAATGTGGACCAATACTATCTCAATAAGAAAAAACTCAGATAAAACAGACAGCTATGGCCAGTTCAGATTAAAAGATCCAAATATAAAAGATTTATATGATATATCACTTTTAAGCCTGTTTTATATTTTAGTGAATTTAATCATATATTAGAATATATTACATATTCTAATATCATATATTAGAAGTGCGAAAGTGGAGGAGAAAGGTGATGCGTGCGAGAGTGGAGGAGGCGTGAAGCTATGGCAAATCGTCGTTTGAGCACTTCTTCCTTTTGCAAGCACAAAGTTTCGGAAAGTGACTTATTAACTTGTTCCAATTGCTCTAAATTTGCTCACTTCTATTGTTTTGGGATCCAGGCAGCAAACTTTCATAAGTTCAGCAAGTCTTACAAAAAAACTTGGAAATGTGAAGATTACAAATTAGTGAAAACCATTAAGAACAACGCAAATTGGACACAGGAACTGGAAGACGACAGAGAACTGGGTGAGTGTGAACAGATTATTATGACTTCACATAATTATAATAAAAACGTGGATAGAACACCAGATAATCTGACTTTCACTCCAACATCACCCTTAAGTATAACTACCAAAAATTCTGAAGTAATTTTACAAGAAGTGAAACTTATACACTTGGAGTTGAGTAACATAAAAGAAACAAACATAGAAATCCAGAAATCGATAGAATTCTTATCAAATAAGTTTGACAAAATGGAAGAGAGAATTAATATTTTAGAGAGAAACTATGTAACTGCTATTGAAACAATGACAAAACTAAAGGAAGAGAATAAAAGTACAAAGACAGAATTAAATTCTTTAAAAGAAAAATTCTGCATGTTGGAGCAGGATCTAAACAACTCAAGTTTGGAGGTTGTTGGTGTGCCGACACTTCAGAATGAGAATTTAACAGAAATAGCACATAAAATTTTTTCATTTGTTGACGATAATTTTAATCAATCATGTCTATTGAATGCCCATAGAATTAAATCCATTAATAACGAAAGAAAAGAATTCAAAACTAGATCGCAACCAATTATAGTGAAATGTGCCAATTCAGTTGTCAAACAAAAAATTATAAATAATATTAAAAAGAAGAAGTTAAAAATAACTACAAATGCGTGTCATANGTTTGGAGATTGTTGGCGTGCCGACACTTCAGAATGAGGATTTAACAGAAATAGCAAATAAAATTTTTTCGTTTGTTGACGATAATTTTAATTAGTCAGGTCTATTGAATGCTTATAGAATTAAATCCATAAATAACGAAAGAAAAGAATTCAAAACTAGATCGCAACCAATTATAGTGAAATGTGCCAATTCAGTTGTCAAACAAAAATTATAGATAATATTAAAAAGAAGAAGTTAAAAATAACTACAAATGCGTGTCATATTATAAATGAGGAATATAGAATATATATAAATGAACATCTTACTCCATATTATAGAAATATTTTCTATAAAACTAGAATGCTAAAAAAACAAGGAAAAATATTAAACACTTGAACAAATAATGGAAATGTGTATTTAAAAAAGGATACTTCTTCTCCAACAATTCGGATACCAACATTGGACAGTTTAGAGAAAATTTTTCGGAATGACTGAATTAGTAACACACGCAAAGATAGACGACTTCTCCAAAAAGGGCATATTCGTTTTTTATTGCAACGTAAGAGGTTTAAATAATAAATATTTAGAAATACTTAAAACAACTGAGGAATATAACTGCAATTTTGATGTATTAGCTTTTTGCGAGACTTGGACAAATGATGTAAATCCTCCACCATATATAAAAGACTATCGGCTAGAAAAAATAGAAAGAAAACCTAATCAGCATGGAGGTATTGTAATATATATACTAGTGATAAACATTATGAAGTTGTTTCAGATCTAACTTTTACAAGAAATTATATAGATATAATTATGATAGTTGTAGGTAATTTGATGTAGTAGGTAATAGTCTATTGTTTCCCATCTACAAACTACAGGAATTTCCTGGATGTTATAAATAAAATACTATTACATAAATCAACTAAATATGGAAAATATAAATTGCAAATAATTGGGGATTTTAACATTGATTTACTTAAAAATAACTCCTCCGACACATCCAAACTGGTAAATCTTTGCTTTGCTGAAAATTTAACAATTCTGGCTGATTTGAATCAACCGACTAGATACGGAAAAAATACTCACTCTTTGATAGACTTTTGGTCTAACAAACAATAGTGCGTGTCAATTTTTAATACATCAAAATTTGATATCTGACCATCTACCTATCATCATCTTTACCCCTGAAAAAGACCTTGATACGAGGATAAAGAACAAAGCATTCTACCGTAGAATCAATAATTCCTCAATTTGCCGTTTACGTTACGCTTTGTCGTCTTGTTTCTCCTGGAGTTATTACTATACTCCAAGTTTGACAACTGACCAATTAGCTGACTATTTATACACCATTTTACTCGCTTTTATTGATAAATATCTTCCGACTAAAGAATATGTGAAAAAAAATAAAACTAGCAGGAAAGACTTCTTAAAGAATTTTATATCTGAACACACGCTCATATTAATTAAACAAAAAAAAACTTTACTTAAAACAGTCAAAAATAAAAATTGGATGACTTTCGAAGAAGGAAACAAACATTTAGAAGATAAAAATACCTTGAATAAACAAATCAGAAAAAATATCCGTAATGAAGGGAAAAACTATTATAGTCTTCTGTTTTCTAATGTTAAATCTCCTTCTGACTTCTGGAAAAGTATTAAGACATTACCCTATCAGGTAACCAGGACAAAGAATAAGGCTAAAATAGATCATTTGAATTACAAAGGGAAAATGATAAATGATGAGTGCACTTTTAGTGATATTTTTGCCGAGCACTACAGGTCTTTGAACGGCTTTACTCCAGATGTCTTCGGCAATATCAATTCGGAGCAACATATAACAAATGTTAGTATTTCTAATACTTTCTTTTTGGAAAACACAACAGCCTTAGAAGTCTATAATACTATAGAAGGTTTGAAAAACAGCACTCCAGACATCAGTTTCTTAAATATTAAAATCTTAAAACACATATCTGATATTTTAGCTCAACCATTATCGTATCTGATAAATAAATCTTTTGAAAATGGTTACTTTCCAGAAAAACTAAATCAAAACTTAGTTTTACCATTATATAAAAATAAAGGATCAAAAAGTGAAATTGAAAATTATCACCCCATAATAATAGTGTCAGTGTTGACTAAAATTTTCGAGAAGATTTTTTACAAGAGATTTTCAACTTTTACAGGTTTTCAACAGACAGATTCCAGGTTATTCACAGAAACCAATACGCTTATAAACGAGGATTTTCGACGGTAGATGCTTTGTTGCATTTGAAACAATCCATAACGTCACAACTCGACAAATCTAAAATAGCAATTTCTGTTTTTGTGGACCTTTCAAAAGCATTTGATAGCTTAAATCACGAACTCTTGTATCAAAAATTGCAGACTGTTGGTCTAAGAGGGACTCCTCTAAGCTGGTTAAAATCATACTTGTCAAATAGAATTTACTTTGTAAAAATTGGACAGATTATCTCTAGCTCTTTCAGGCCAAACAAGGGCGTTCCTCAAGGTTCAATCCTGGGTCCACTGCTTTTCAATATATATATTAATGACTTGTTTAACTTTATACTAAAAGAAAATATATTGATGTACGCTGATGATCTAGTGATAACTTATTCTCATACAAACGCTATAATTCTTCAGGAGAATTTGAATCACATCTTAAAAATTTTAAACAGTTATATGGAAAACAATGGATTAGTAATTAACAAAAATAAAACTAAATTCCTCTGCTTTGCAAATAGGAATAAAATAATCAATCCACATCACCTAAAAATTAAAATAACTGATTATAACATAGAAAAAGTAAATGCTATTAAGTTTTTGGGAGTAACTTTTGATGACAATCTGCGCTGGAATAAACATATAGATGATGTTGCACTTTCCCTGGCAAAGTATACTAGGATAAATAAGAAAATTCAAGCTTTTTTAAGTACATCACTCTTGAAATGGCTGTACCACACTTGCATTGAATCTAGAATAAGATATGGTATCGCTGTATGGGGAACCGCATCTCTATACGCTGTTAATAAACTTCAGATGGCACAAAATTGTTATATGCGTTCAATTTATAATTTAAACTTTATGGAATCAGTATCTGAACTCTACCGCACTGATAATATTGACAAGATTAGTGAAATTTACAAGAAACAGATTCTATTGGAAAGCTTCAAATACATAAAAGGAAAAAAAGAAAACAGCTTTCTCGGAATTGGTATAGGTGAATGTCGCAGATCAACGCGAGATACTCGTTTAAATCGTGAATATAGTCTCCCAATTGTTAAACTAGAGGTGGGGAAATCTGCACTGATCTTTCAATTAATCTTCTATTGGAATAGTCTGTGCAATGATTTGCGTAACATATCAAATTATGAAATCTTCAGAAAAAAATGTAAAAAAACAGAAAAACTTAAGATGCAATGATATTTGTTGTTAATTAATTTTCTTTCTCAGTTCATGTCCTGTTTTTGTTTTGTTTTGTGTTGGTTTTGTTGTTTTACTGTAAGATGCTTGAAAAAGGCCAACCTGGCCACAGTGTCTTTTGAGAAATAAAAAAATAACAATTTTTATGTAATTTATTATATAGATAATATGTAAAATAGTTTTAAGAACAAAAATTGTATTTTTATAGTTACATTTTAATTGAATGATTTATTTAATATGTTATTGTTTTAAACTTTCTTTTATGAATTACAGTATAGTGTATTCACTTAAAATTTGCCTCACAGTCAGATAATATAGAATTTTGGTTAATCAGAACCAAGATAATCAGGATTCAGGATTTCTACTGTATGAATGCACATTATATATATAGAACTAATGTTACTTATATAAAGAATTATTATAAACTGGAACTGCAATACTAATGTGGAGTTTGTTGAAAATCATCCTGATGATTGGACTACCAAAGGTAGTCAGAAGTGGAGCTCCTAGTTATGTGTTAGGGTACAACTATGCAGACGCGAGCGAGTGAGAATATGTGGTGAGAAGAGGCGAGACGTGATAAATATCAAAACCTATCAAATATGTGCGAGAACCAGAAATTCGCTCTCGCCAGCATTATTTCTCGCTTCTCATTTGTGTATGGTTTTCCTTTGCGAAAACTAAATTGCTCACAACCTCTTGCTCGCTCTAAGTTCACGTCTGCATAGTCGCACCCTTATATCAGAGCTACATGGTCTTATCCTTTGAGGAAAACTTCTATATTCAATACTGGACAGGCCGATTGAATTGATAAATTATTAGCTAATTTCTCAAATATCTGCAATTTGAATCCATTATTTGAGAGGTTTCTTTGCTAGCTTTGACATTTAATTAAAGATGTTTAAGTAATATTTAGCAGAATAAAACAAGACAACCATAATTTTCATCCTACTATTTCATCACACTTTTCATACAAATACATTGAGTATAATTAAGGCAAGATAATTCTGCATCTGATAACACATAATCTATCATTAAAGTTTGTAATTATTTTTTTTTTAAATTATATTTTATATCTAATACCTTTATTGCCACTTTTGTGTCTTTGTGTGATAACTTAAGGGCATTATTAAACACTTTCAGATCTTCATCTAAAGCCAATGTTGCTCCAGGAAGTCTCTGTTGATCAGGCTCTATGTAATCATTTAGACGTTGAGGAGTATCAATAAACACCAACTTTCTGTTTCCCTAAAAGTGCATACACAGTTTATATATCTTATTAAAAACTGTAAATAAACAAAATTAAAATTTTAACTGAAATTATTTTTGTATTTTAATAAATTATACAAATAAACTTAATAGGAAAAATTACCTTTAATGGTGCCAGAATTCTGTCATGATATTTTGTATATTCTCTAACCCATGAATTACAATTATAAATATAAGCAGCATGAATTTTTTCATAAGCTACCTCAGGTAATACAACAAACCATTTTTGTAAAAATTCAGTCTATAAAAGCAATAATCATATTTAATCTTAATTATAAATAATAAAAATTAATATATATGATTGAAATTTGCACATTACCCGAAATCTATTATCTGCACAAGTATGAGTAAAATCAACAACTAACTCAAATGGTTTATGACAAAATGGCTTTAATGTTAAAATAACATGATAAATTAACAAGTCTCCATTTGTTTCTCCTATCCTATATAAAAATAAATAAAAATATTAAATAAAAACAGCATATTTTATATAAATATAAAATTAGCTTTAAAATTCAAGTTCTCTAATTAATTAATTAACTTACTGATGTTAGTTTACATGTATTCATATGATGATTGATTACATTCAGTATATCAAGTTTTGTATACGTACCTGAACATTTATTAATGCTCAGCACAATATTCATGTTTTTAAAAAGATGCTTATCTCAATTTTAAAATCACAAGATATCTGAATCTGATATTTTTTTGAAGTTTTATGTTACACTCTGATTTGACCACTTTATGCAAACTAATGGTCTACTTTGCATTATTATATTTTAGGTAATATATAATTCTCAAATAACAGGGAGTAAGGATAAGGAAAGACCATTATTAAGCCAACAGGAAGCAGTAGCAGTAGCAGTAATAATAAAATAATACTAAAATATCAGAACAGATTAAATGCAATACTAAGAACACACCTAAATGCAAAATAAACTATTAAAGCAATTAATACATTTTTTGTCCATGTATAAAGTTTCTAGATGTAGACACATACACCATACATACATGTATACACTTATTCTTTTAAAAATATACTGAACACACACAGATCTTGAGCAACTCCAAAGAAAAACAAGAACACTTACTAAACATAAACAATATCACCCAAAATTGTCCATAGAAAAATTAACTCTTTCTCATAAAGAAGGTGAATATCACCATAACCTGACTAACATAGTTAACCTCAACTGCAAACACTGTGGGAGTTTTTCCACAAAAAACAAGAAACATCAAGATTACATACAGCTATAACTCTGGCAGAAAGTAACAGTACACCTTTAAACAGTCAGAGATCCAAAAGTCACTTCAAGGCAGGCATGCCTACGACTATGCCAAACTACTAGGGACTGCTTGTTTGGAGAGACACTGGGGTTTATGGTTGCCATTAAAGATCAGGTCATAAATACTAAAAACTACAGAAAACACATTCTGAAGGACACATCACTCACAAAATGACTCTTACAGAAAACAATACAATATATAACCTCTGGTTGCAAGCTCTTAGCACAGACAATTTACATAGGCATAATCAAATAGAAAATATAATACATCAAGAATTTGAACACAAACACAATTATGAAACACCCAGGTACCATACTACAAATATATTCCATAGGCAATATTAGAAAATGACATGCACAAAATATACTATGACAGAGCCATTATCACAGATAAAACAATTCATCACAACAGACCTAACATCATTTTCAAATTGAAAAATGCAATAAGATCACTTATATAATAATAGACATCTCCAGTCCAAACACTCATAACAAGATAAAGGCTCACACTGAAGAAATCAACAAGTACACTCCAACCATCCAAGAAATAAGGAAGCTATGGTGGATAAATAGGGTATTTATTATACCTGTTGTCCTCTTCCACTAGTGTCATGCCATATACACTACACAAAAGTCTAGAAATGTTAAACCTTAATAAAAATGTATACATGACACTACAGAAAGCTGCAATATTGCATATGTTACATTGTTAGAAAGTTTCTAGATGTAGACACATACACCAATAACACAGAAGTGTAATGATACAATTGTTTGGTTAGCTATACTTTGACTTTAGTCTAGAATAGCACTTCAGTTGAGCATGACATTTGTAACATAATACTAAAAACATTCATGTAATTTAAGCACAATCTTCATATCACATAACATTTTTGATAACAATTTTTTATCAAAAATGTTTTAATATTTTAATAAAATATAAAGGTAAACATTTTATTAAAGATATAAAAAAAACTTATTTAAAAAAAATTAAATTTTAGTTTGTTTTCAAGATTATAGATTTGCATGATTAAACACAGACAGACTACAGAACTAAAGTAGTATAGATAACCAAATTATTTACAAACGATGTAAATTTGCCAGATTTCTTACAGATTTTAGTAAAATTATATAACTGATTGAAATTACAAATTATAGTCTTTAAACTAGTTATATATGCACTTTAATTGTATCTGACTGTTTGCTTTGTTTCCATTTAAAAAGAATGTCATTTCCAAGATTAAATTCTATAAATGCAGGGCTCATGCTTACTTGCATTTTATGCTTAAATTGACAATTTTTGTTTGACTACCTATTTTTAACAATAAAACTGACTCACAGAAAGTTTCCAATATAATTGTTTCTACTATCATTTTTAACTTTGTTTTGATGATTTTTTAATCAGCATGACAAATAATTTTATCCCAATTTACTATTTTTAACTAGCCTAGTAAGTTTTGGCACAAGAAACTTTTCTCCATTAATTCACCATTATCATTTTACATTAATGTTACTTAATATCAAAGTTATTGTTACAGAAATGAGTAACAAGTCATTCCACAATGTTTATAGGGTGTGTTATTTATTAATAATTATCTGACACATTTTGCAAACTAAAATTTTTAATTAGTTGAAATTGTTAATTATGAAAAACTTTTTAGAATCATTCAATTATTAAGATTTAAAATAAAACATTTTATTATACAAAAATAATTTATATCATTAATTTATCTGCAACCATAAAACTGTATGACTTCCATACAGTTGAAAAGGCAGAAAGAAGTTATTTACAGATGTTTGTGAAATGCCATCATTAGGATGTAAAACAACGTCTTATGAAGCCAGAAAATTTAACCTTGAATAAAAATACAAAAAAGCAGTTATTCTTAATTATTATGCATTAATGTATCATATATTCTGTTACAAAGTTATAAATTTATTAAATTTATCTTTTAATACATGCTAGCAGTTTAAGAAAGAGAATAATTTTGTATAGCCAATTTCTTTTTTAAACTATAACAAAATAATAAATCAGATTAACATGATCAAACAAATAGTTGAACATGGTTCCTACACAAAATTTTGTTTTAAATTCCATGACTTTCCCTGAATTCTCCTGACCAACTTTGTACAAATTCCCTGACCCTCATGTTCCTTACAGTATGGCACATTGACCAAATAAAACAGCAGTTGACTTACTATACATTAATTTATCCCTTAATAAATTTTCTGAACTTATAAAATATTAATAAATTGGAAAAAAAAATCAGAAAGTGGTTTGTTATGCAATCAAAATTTAAAATAAAAACAATAATTTTAATTTAAATGGTATCATTTATCATTTTTTGTACTTCATAAATTTTTAGGGAAATTTTGGGTCCTAAAAATATTCTTCACACCTTTTCATAAGTTGCATTGAACCATATTACTTCTTGCTGCATGCAGATGTCATACTTAGTCAACCATATTGTCAGCAAGAAAAATGAAGGCAGCCAAGGATGCAAATATCATGACTTTTTGGACAAATTTCCCAACTTTCCATGATTTTTTCCAAACACTAATGAAAATCCCTGACTTTCCAGGTGAGTAGGAATCCAGCTGATAAAAGGCTGATTATAACAAAATATGGAATAAATATGTAACTAGCGATTGCATTACCAGTAACAGGTTTACCGGTAAATTAGAAAAATTATACTCTGATAAATTTATCGGTAATTAATTTTTTTACTGGAATTTCAGTTAAAAAAAAACATCTTAACACATTAACAATTGCCTGACAGGCATGCGGCTGTACTAGTTAATCAAATAATGAACCGCCCAACGGCTGGACATTGCTATAACCAATGTATTTTTACTCAAGGTTAAATTTTCTGGCTTCATAAGACGTTGTTTTACATCCTAATGATGGCATTTCACAAACATCTGTAAAGTTGGTTTGGATGCTGGTCATCCTAGGGGGTCATGAAGTGGTTTAATGGCCGGTGGAGATAGCATTTTTTTTAATAAACTATTTTACATTTGATAGTTTTTTTAAAATAGTAAACAGTTAAGAAAAAAAGAAGAAACATATCAAAGACTAGTTTAATTCTTTCATTTCATTAAAGTAATATAGCAAAAGAAAATATAGGAAGTATGTAATTTGACACCCTTATTGTTGTGAGAGTAGCCAAGGGTATAAGTAAATTACCTATATCACTTACTGGCGCACGATCGTGTGATCGGCTCTCTAAACTTTTTATAGGAGGGCGATAATAAAAATGATCTGAACGGCGAAGTTCAGATGCTCGTCAGGATTCCTTGACACCAGTTAATCAAACTTATTATACGCGGATTAACACGCGTTTACGATCTGATTCGGAATAAATTGAGGAGACATTCTTATAAAATAAAACAAGAGTAAATTTAATAAATCTCAAACAAACGAATACAAAAAATTGATTACATCCATTTAGCGACAAACTAGAGGCTACGACCTTTTCTATGCTAATGCGCGATCGAGAGAGAGAGCTCACAAAATGATTCTAAACATACGACCTGTTTAGTTGTCGTCGTCTTCGTTTCTGCAGGTAAAGGACACCTTGTAGATAGAGTTCATATTACTTTCATATGGGAGATCAATTCGTGCACAAAATATAAAAATATCACTTTTACGTGTAGACTCGGGACTTAGTCTCTCAGACTCCGTTAAGGGCGTTGGCCATCAGGAGGGAAACGTATGTGGAGTTTGTATGCTTCGGATCTGTCGAAGAACTCCTCGAATTTGGACTAAATTCCCTTATATCTCCTGAATTTCGACCAATCATCGGCCAGAAACTCTTTCGTGAAAACGGACGAAAGGGGGATGAAGGAGGGGTAACCATTTCCCATCTGAGCGAGATTTTTAACCAGATACGGAAAAAACAGAGGATGTTCTCTTCTGTGAAAGGAAATAACATCTGCTATCTGGTTTTTCCCACGTCTAAAACACCAGTTTTTTTCACCAAAACGAAGTAATATTTTGTGTCGATATTTAAACATTATCAATAAAAATTCATAAATTAGACCCAGGGCCTTTCGGGTCTCACATTGTTTATTGCCTCACACATGTTCTTTAACCTGCAAATGTCTTGACATATGCTTTAAAAACATGTAATTAGATGAGCAGATCTAATTACAGTGAATTGTAAAATAAATAGGGTCTCTTGTTAAGACCTTTCTCTCTCTAGGCCTTCCGACTTGCTAGTCAATGTTCTTTTTTTTTTTTTTTAACTTCACCTTACTAACTGTTATATAACCACTCTTCTATTTAAAATTTAAAAAATATTAAATATCTATTTTTTAATTCAGGCCCCTAAATAGACAAAGTATCATATTACAGGAGGCAGTAAACATGTTAATTAATTTGACATTTATTTTCATAAAATTTCCACTGAAAATATCCACGGGAAGCAGATTTCTTTTTGTCTCCTCCCATACCATAGAGAGAAAACAGTGCAGGATTTGTAACTTAAATTACAAATGGATCATTCCCATTTGTAATTTAAGTTATTAAAAGGAATTTTCTAGTTTTTTTTTTATAACTTGATTCCCTGTATTATACTCCAAAATCAAGACCCATTTTTGGAGTACAGTATAATACAGGAAAATAACCCAGAAAAATTGAACAAATATAACTCATACAAAATATCCAATAATGTTAACAAAAATATAATTTTGAATAGGATTGTAGAAATAATCAAACACTTATTGGAAAATGAAAAAGAATCATGACTTGCAGATGTCACTGAAATTAGTTCAGACTCAGATTCTAGTGAGAGGTGTTCATTGCTTACCTAACCAACTTCTCACATTGACACAATAACAAAGTGTACAATAGAAAAGTCAAATTTAACAATAAATGAGAAATTAAACTTATTCATTAAACATAAAATGAGTGTAGACACTAATAACAGTAATATAAGTTTAAAAGTGCAAAAGATATACAGTAGAGCTTCAATTATCCAAATCAATTGGGGACTGGGGTTGTTCAAAATCGATTTTTCGGATAACCAATTATGTATGAAAAAATACATTATTAATATAATATATTAATATATCCAATGTTTAAATTTTTCAACATTGCATGTCGCTTTGCGTTAAATTTTTGTTGATGTTAAGCCTAACAAAAATTTTTATAATAATAATCGTGGATATTGTATCGTTAAAAATTATTTCTTTATTTTGTACAGACAAAATAAATATATTGAAAAATATAAAAACAAAAAAAAATTATACTTTAGACGTTAATCTAGTATCAAAAACGTTCGATTCAGCACAACACAGTTTGACTGGAATGTTTTTGGTTAACCAATGTTTCAGTTGATTGGCATTTGGATAATTGATGCTCTACTGTAGTTAAGAAAGAAATTAATTTTTTCATACAGCAAAAAATATAAGGAATGTATCTTAAGTTTCAATGCTCTAATGACAGTATGTCCAACTAGTATTGATTCCAAGAGAGCTTTTTCTAATGCAGCTGCCATTTGTACAAAAATTAGATCTAGATTAGATGACGAAAGCCTAAATGTATTATGTTTTTTAAGAGCCTACTTTCAAAATAAAGAAAAGCATAATTAATTATCAGCATTATTTCAATGTCTGTTATGTTATAATAATCGCTATTACAAGAATGTTGTTTGTCTAAATTGATAGAAAACTTGAAAATAAACGGTTGTCCAATAATTCTGTCAGTAATTCAGTTTTGTTTTAAATCATTTGTTAATATGAATTTACCGATAAACTGGTAATCCCAAATATAATTACCAAATTATCGGTAATGTAATACCTGGTAACTTTGCAATCACTACATGTAACTAAAGCTTTAAAAATTTCAAACCTTCTATATAAAACATTTATATACAATAAAACAGGCATTGAACATCTTGATTAGTAATAATAAAATTTAACGATTCAAATTAAGTTTTATGCTGAATAAAATTTTTTAATGAATTTTTAATTTTATCAATAATTTTAATAAATAAATATTTTTAAAAATACTAATGAAAATATTCTATGACAGAGCCATAATCACAGATAAAACAACTCATCACAATAGACCTGACATCATTTTCATTGACAAATGCAATAACATCACTTATATAATAGACGTCTCTGAAAATTAAGATATAGAACTTAGCTATCAATTTAAACTGCAATTTCGGTTTGTTTATTACATATATTACCGCTAAATCGGTCCCCTCTGTTTACATAGCTATAAATAACTGTAGCACGTGTTCAAACAGTCATTCAAGGACACTAGCTAAGGCAAGAATTGTGACAAACGATTACTGACGCGCAAAGCGATGCGTGACGCGAGTGGTGCGCGCGTGACGCGCGTCAAATTTTTTGTACATAGTAATAGTACCGTTAAATCGGCCCTTTTTTTGCCCAGATTATAATGCAAAGGCATTTGTTTACTTTGAAACAAAACAAATGCACGTGTTTTACGACCAGGGGTTAAAAGTTCACAATTACTTCCTGACTCAGCAGGAGAATGGTGGGGTTGGGGTAACTAGGTCAGGTTAATTAGTTTTAAACGTATTTCTGCTTCGAGAAGTGAATATTAGACATTATATATATATGTTTTAAACGAATATTACAATATTCAAATATAATTAGCAATGATGAGTTTTTTCCAGCGAATAGACAACATCCGGAAGTACTTCCTGAAGAATGCAAACACTTGGTGTCTGCTTTTTTTTTTGTTTTTATCTTTCTACAACGATTTTTCTATACAGTTCGTTGAATATTCTCTAGCAGTTAGCTAGAGAATATTCAACGATAGAAACAGCTATTTTTAAAGCCATTATGTCTCTAATTACTGTAATGTGAGGGGAATGGATGAGTCATCTGTAGGTTGAAGTTAAAACAAGTTTCCTCTCAGATAATGCATACTATATATTATTTTTATATTATTTCAACTAATTTTACAATATTTGACTGTAATTCGCAATTTTGCATGCGTTTATTTACATATTTTCTCATATTATGTAATGTTAAGAGTTGAATTTCCTGGAAAAATTTTCGAGTAATCTTCTGGTCTAAGTAAAGTCAAATAACATGAAAAGTAGTAAAATTACAGATATAACATCAAGAAAATAGCTATTTCTCAACGTTTGTTTACGTTCTAACTCTGAACACGTGATTTTGGAAGTCATTGGTTCTTCGCGGGAAAATCCTGAATAGGCGGTTCTGAGAAAACACTCATTGGTTAATATTAATTCAGTCATAATAAAATTAACTAATTATAGCATAAAAGGCGTCTAAACAAGAAATTTATAGCCAATTAACGGCAAGAAGGTTTCCCATAGACATACTATAGGAAGGTGAAGTTTCCCGGGAATATTTATGACGAGATGAACTGATTTGTCGATGTTACAGTCAGACAACCTAAAAAAAAGCCAATCCAAGTAATTATATTCACAACATTTATTAAATTTTAAATATTTTAAAATAAAAAAAAATAAGTATCGCTTATCACACCGGGAAGCCGACGCCATGACAGTACGTGTAACTTGACACACCCCGGTCATAAACCAATCTTTGAACGTAAACATCGGGGGTTCTATTGAAGCTAGAATGACGCGGTTTGTTTTGTTATACGTAGAAACACTTCAACTTTGTAACTGCTGTGTTAAACAATACGATTTTTTAAATTTAATTTTTTAAAATGAAAATACCTAAAACTTTTCTCTTTTTAAAATTTTTTTTTCGTAAATAATTAAAACAAATACGATAATCAGTGAGAATGAAGTGTTTATAGACAAAATAAAAAACAGCGCGTCTCTAGCGCAAAAATTAAAAAAAATATAGCAGTTTTAAAATATTTTACAAAAAATATCGACGAGGAGACTTGTAATTTTAAAAAAAATTCAGGATACAACCGGTTAATACACAATTCATCTGTAAAATAATGTATTAATTACTGAATAACTGAATAGCTTTTTCAAGCTAATTTGTTTATTTCTAAAAACATTAAATTAAGAAATATTTAAAAAGATTCTACAGAACTTAGAAAATAAATCTAAAATAGAGAATTTTGTATTTCAAAACTAACAAAACATATTTTATACAGTAACATATACAAACTCAGAATGCTAAAAGATGCAATGTATTATCATTATAACTATAATAATCTCTTCTTACTTACTTATATCTACGTGCTATATAATAAAATACTGGATTTCCAAGTTTTGATGTCCCAGCTTGATAAAAAATGTTTAAAGATTTAATTGATTTAAATTCATCTTTTTCATGCATATTATGTTTTGACATAATTTCTTCAAATTTTGTACTTGTCATATCCATAGTACTCCATCTGAAAAAATTCAAAAAATTACAGTTTAAATACATTAAATGAATTTACATTTTATTTTCATAAATAAAATAGATAACCTTATAATAAAATTGCCTTGATACATATTTTTTATAATTAATAAATGTAAAGAATATCTTTCTTTATCTGTATGAAATTATAAAAGATTATTTGTTTGTTTTATTAAGTTATAGCAATGCAACACTTTGGTGATATGCCTAAGGGGAGATGCCTTCCGAGAGGTCTTTTAAGGGACCCTATTCAGGCATTAGAGTCGTGTTGTAAACCTGGAAAACTCCATGTGGCCAGTCCGTCCTGGCAAGGCGCAAACTCACAACCAAACTCCCAGTGTTCAGGGAATGAAACTGCTTGGCCACTAGTGGGCCTTATAAAAGACTGATTATTGTATTATTTTATTTTTAATGTAAGCAAATGCCTATTCGTTAGGTGCGTAGAGATCCCACTGTATAGGTCTTTATCATTTATTATCCTTTCGCTAATCCCAGACGAAATACAATGATGTGCCATTTGTTTATTTTTGAAATTTATATTTGCCATTTATTTTTGTTTCGAAAATGAAATGGAAACCTCTTCAAATTATCCAAAAATAAAGATTTATCGATATGCCAACATTTTAATTTCTATTTGAGTCAGTTTGTAAAATATATCCATAAATATTGTTTATACAATGTAAATAGATGTATATTTATAAATCTACAACAATTCTAACCCGAAAATNATTTAAATGTTTTGAATATTAAATTTACTTCTGTTGCAGGGCATAAAGAAAATGCTCACTTAAATATTTAGAAAGGAATACTATATGCTTAGGGATCAAAATATTATTATGTATCTATAGCAAACTAAAATATATTTTGAGTTTAGATACAAACTGTTATTGTTTGAAAGTTAACTTGAATAAAATGTTACAAACTAATTAGGACAAACACACACATATTTTTAAATGTACTTATTATGATAAAATTGCTTAATCAGGTAACTAAAAAATTAGCTAAATTTATCCAAATCAAACTATTAGTCAGCTTGACTATTCAGATAATCTTTTTGGTCTAATGTCATTTATTTGTGTTTCTAGATTCATTTCTTAGGCAGACTTATGATTGTTTTGATTTTATTTTCCTACAGTTAGGTTATGTTAGATCACTAGAATATAAAGAAATGCATGTTTGAGTGTGTTGTATCTAATTCAATATATTTTGATAATGTGGGACTATTTAAGATTTTTCTTATTTTTGTAAGTTTTGTTATTTATTTTGATTTTATTTCAGATATTTATAGTGCTTCTTAAAACAAAAATAAATGTTTATTAATTAAATTTGCATCTGTCATTTTATTGATGATGATTATTGTATCTACATTTTCATCAGCAATTTTTGTTAGTAAGAGTCTGTGATCCTTTAGCATCATCCAATATTTGTGTTGGTGCATTTGTTCTTTACTTGTATGATGAACAAGTAAAAAAAAAACTGTTATTGGAACTCATACCATTAATGTACTTGAATATAAAATTCAGTCATATTTTATAAAAATAATAATATAAATAATAAAATTGTAATTATAATGTTTTTGGCTACACTTACTGGGAATCAACTGGTTTATGTTCAGGTGGGCCAAGATATGCAAGAAGTGTTGCCATTTTATCAAAAGGTCTACGTCCAACTGCTTTATGATCTCTGGAACTTGAAAGATAATCACCTATCTTCTCCTGATGATTCCATAGCAGACGATGAAGTGCATGAACGTTAGCATCACTAATAAATGACATACTATGGCTTGCTTGATCAACAGATTCACAATCTGAAGTAATCTGCATCACCCATCTTTAAGTAAAATGTATAAAAAAATTTAATTTAGCATTAGCATTTGAATTATCAAGAAATATTAATTTTTTCAAGTTTAAAAATTATACTTAAATAATTTATAATTTGAAAACAATAGATTAACAATGAAGTATTAAAAAAATTGTTTTTAAACAGGTAATAAACTATACTCTGTTAGCTGATAATTCTATCAATTATGAAATTCTAGATTCTAAAAAAAAAAAAAATTTTTACTATTAAATTATTGATCCAGGAACAGTCAAGAAAGAATGACAGCAATAGTCATTTTGTAAAATAAAGAGAATTATCATATACACAAAAATATTCCAATTATTTAAATTATAAAAACCAGCAATTGAGAAAAAAAAATCAAATCAGGAATAAAAAATATCTCTAGTTAGTGACAATTCATTACAGGACTTTTATTACAGTAAATATTTTATAAATAAATTTGATTATTTATCATTTATATATTTTTGTGTTAAATTGTTAAAACTGAATTAATTTTTTTCAGTATTAATATAATGACTTTCTTCATTATACATGTAATATAATTTTTTATATATATATACAAAAAATTGTTGTTAGAAAGTTAATTTGAAAAAATTTTATACACTATTGATACCAAAAATATTGTTAAAAAAACTGAAAAAAAGATTTTTTAAATTGTAGAGGGAGACACTCCACCATAAATAGATATTTTGTTTAGTTTTGAATTTAAAGTTGTTCCTTACTTTAATACTTTAATTTATATTTTTAAGAATATTACAAAACAACAGATAGATATGAATACTTTTTTAACCTGAGTAAAATTATTGGACTTTGGACTTTTATAGAAACATATACAGGTATATCTCACCTTACGTCAGTAATTGGTTCCAGGAGAGGCAAGAGTCAAAAAACAACGTAAGTCAAATTTACTTGTCATTAGGCTAAACCACAAATAACCATTCTCAGTTCCGTATTTTATTTATAAATGCATTTTTAATAATATATGGTTAATAAGAATCTATTTTAAGCTTACAAACAAATAAATTTTAGTTTTTAATATAGTGCAGAAAAAAGTAATCTAAATTAATGAATTCATGTACATACAGTATGTACATACTTGTAAATGTACATGTTTACAATTTGGCGATGTTTACAGTACATCTTTATTTGTGAATATGGTTTGCTCCAAGACATTATAAAATAAGATGATTTTGTAAGGTTAAATAACAAATATAGTTATTAAAATTATCTTGTGACAGTAGAAAATAAATTAATTTATATTAAATTTACCAATATCGAGTGGCTCTGACAACGACGCCAAACAGTAGATATTGGAGCTACTGTGGAAAACACCAATATTGAGCACTTAAAGACTGCTAAATAAGATGACAACACAGAAACATGGATGTTTTCATATTTCGTTCTCTAGGATTTATGATGGTTATATTAACATTTACTGTAAATGTATGTATTTTAATATAATTTTATGTGCTTTAACGCTTTTCTAATGATATTACGACTTGAATATTTGTGGCAAATGGACATAAAGTCGAATAAAATGACTTAAACTTTATTTTTATTTTTCCATATATTTATTGACAAATGACGTATAATCGAGAACGATGTAACTTGAGGTATACCTGTATATACACACAATATAACCTTCAAAGTGTTATATTTCTATATTCAAAAAATTATTACAGTATTATCTATTATTTATTGTGTATCCCTTCATTATTAATGAAACATAATTACCAGCAAAACATACTAATCTTATTGCACTTATTTTTGAAAATTATCACTAATGTTTTCAGTCCACTTCTAGAGCCATCTTCAGGAAGATTTTGAAAAAAAGATTCTTCCTGCTGTTAGTAGTGTTCTATTTGGCTCCAATGTATTCAAATTTCAAACGTTTCTTTTTATGAATTTATAAATATCTGTGCAGCTTTGGTTGTTATAGCACCAGGTAGTACATAGCCTGCCATGCCTTTGAGATCCATTTTTCATTTTTAAAATTAGTCACAAGGCTCTGGCATTTGCTTTAAAAATCTCTAATGCCTTCAAATTCCTAAGTTGGTTTCTATGATGGGTTTGTCATATTATGGCAGCCTGTTGTAGTTCTGATGTAATCCTGTTCTCACTGGCATACATAGCCATAGCTAGGGTGTCTCATTTCCCGGGAAATTTGCCTCCAGCAGGATTACAGTAAAAATAATTTCTTTTCCCTGGATCTCGGGATGAGATAGTAAAATAGAATTTCACATGAATAAAAAATATCATACAGGAATATAATAAATTTGAATAATTTAATTTATTTTCTAGTAAGTAACTAAAAGTGTAGGGCCAATCTCACCCATACAGATGCATTAGACTCAATTAATTTATGTTCTCCTATATTATAAGATGAAAGTAAAATAAAGTGTTTCATTGGGAGTTTTAATGAACATAATAATGATTATGAAAAAAATACTATTTTATTTCTAAAGATGAAATAAAAAATATACTTATTCCATAAATTTAATGAGAAAAAAGACAATTATTTTGAATTGAACAAAAGATACAACTTCTCCAAAATAAAATTATTTGCAGTTGAACATAAAAAATACTACTCAAAAAATTTATAAAAACAAAAATCTCTCTCAAAAAATAAAAAATAAAAAAACTTATAAATTTCCACTTATAAATTTATAAATAATTTATAATTTATAAATATTATAATTAAAATTTATAAATAAACTTATAAATTTGATCACTTAATCTAGTTCTCAATTTGGTCACAAAAAGACCTGCAACTGAAAATGCCAATGGTTTTATTTTATAAATTATATTAAAATAAATTGTTGTAAAATATGAGTAATTAAATAATAGAGAAATTTCAAATAATCACACTTACAGTTACAAATGATAAAGCTTACATTCCCATTTATATCCTAACAAATTCAACTTATAAATGCAAATTCAAAACTAAAGTGCGATGAGTGATATTTACTTTCAGTGAGTGCTCTGCTACTCAATGATGCGCAAATGCAATACATAGATATTACATGAACTAACAGGTAGAGACTTGTAAAACATAGGTACAGTAATAAATAATATGCAGCATGAAACCTCAAAATTTCTCTCTTAGGTGAGTCTTCAAAACGCAACTTTTCGTATAATAAATGATAGAAAGAAAATGACATGATAAATTATTATTGAAATGTGACATTTCCCGGGAAAATAAAATTTTCCGAGATTTTTCTCAAAGGGAATAAACGGCGAGAATCCTGGGAAAGAAACCCTAGCCATAGCCAAGGCATACATAGTATACATTTTTTTTCCTTCTTTTAGATATCTTTTGTGTTCAGGAAGACATTGCTTGAAAGATCTTGTAGACCCAATGTATACACGGTCTCTACTAAACCTGTTATCCTTGAGTGGAATTTTATAGTTCCCCAGTGTTCTTTTGATGTCTGCTTGATGCTTCTCATTCCTAAACATTTTAAATGTATCAGGCTTATGTCTGTAAGTGATTTCTGTATTAGTATATGCTTCCATTTCCCGATATAAAGACGTTCATTTGTTATAATAATAAGGTAGGGAGATATATCATTCTGTAGAATATTTTTATTGGAGTTCTATTCAATTCAAAAATCTGCCTGAAGACAGTCCTAGAAGTGGACTGAAAACATTAGTGATAATTTTCAAAAATAAGTGCAAAGTGCAATAAGGTTAGTACATTTTATTTATAATTAATGCTTTGTTTAGTGGATTGGTTTTTTTTTTCATAATTATCAATATAGTAGAACCTGCTAATTGTAATCACAGATATTACTATCAGTTTTCTAAATTAAAATGTCCCAAAACACATTTTTAAAAAATTTAAAAAATTAGAGTTTTAGTTATAGTTTTTATCTGAATATAAATTAGCATTTTTAAATCATCTTTTTACATTCTAACTTCAACACATGACTGATAATGTTAAATTATCACCAATCTCAACCAGTACTTTAAGCATTGCTTTAATTTGTTATTTGCACACAGTAGTTTAAATTGTTTGCATTTCTGACTTTAAATACACATTAACTGTTGTTAAAGATGGTACTAAAAAAAGCAAAAAACACTGAAATTATTGTTAATTAGTAATAATTATAATTAATGTATTAATTATAATTATTACTAATTATAATAATTATAATAATTCTTTTAACTGAACCTGACAATGCCCATAGTATATAGATAAAAATCTTTATTTAAGTAAAGAAATCTTAATTTTACTGGTTTTTGTGTGTTGCATAGCTCTGATTATAGTTCTAATCAGTTTCTTTGCATCTGACTTCATTAATTTATACAATTTTTAATTGTTTAAATGTGTTCTTTTAATGTAAGAATCAATCAAACCAGAAATTCTACTAATTGTAGTATTATTTAATTATCCTGCTTAATGTTATCATTGCCAGAATAAGTATGTCTCAAAGTGATTACAATAAGTGAATTAATTCTATTACAGTGGAACCTCAGTATACAACCTTAATCTATACCTGATGTTTAAACTTATACAGAATAGAACACCACCAAACAACCTTTCCTATAAGAAGAAATGTAAAAATGATTAATCCATTCTCATGTAAAAAAATGGCTGGCTTTAAACACCTCACTTTCCTGGCTAGTTCCTGTTTGATTTTTCATGAGATCAGCATATATCTTTTTAGCTTTCTTGCAAATAATTGCTTCTGATACGCTGCTGCCAGCACACTGTTTTTCAGTTATCCAAAGCAAAAGCAATTTCTCAACATGATCTAATGTCTTCAATCTCTGTTTAGAAATTAATTTAACCCCTTTCGCAACGTTAGCAGATTTAATAATGTCTTTATTTTTCACAATTGTCGATATTGTCATTCTCGGAATATCGTATGCAACAGTTAAATCTCGGGCACACATGCCACCTTCATATTTCTCAACAATCTCTTTTTTCACTTCCATTGTGATTCTAGTCATTTTTTTAGTTTTCTGTTGCTTTTCATTTGCCTTTTTGCAATTCATGATTAATAAAATAATAAAAGTTCACTTACAAATTAAAATCAAAAGAAATTTAACAAAGTTATAAACTGTGGCAGTGCCACAGTTTATAACTTGTTAAATTTCTTTTGATTTTAATTTGTAAATAAAGTTTAGTCTGGTCTAGTACACCGATAGTGCTATTTGTTCATAGATGGTGCGTATAATTGAATTAAGTTGTATACCGAACAAAAGTCGTATACCGAACAAAAGTCGTATACCGAGCAAAATTTGTTTCGTCCAAACAGGACATATTTCGAATCGGACATACTGTAAAGCAGAGGTACCACTGTATATTACTAATCATTATAATTTATGTAGCAATTATTTAATCAAAAAACAAACTGGTAAAAAATGTAAATGAAAAATATTTTAAAAAGACATTTTAATCAAATTCATTTGCTAACTATACCTTCGACCAGATTCAAAATTAGCACGAAGAAAATCATTAAAATGAAGCATATGCTGTTCTTTACTAAATTCTACATGATTTGCTATGTTCTGAAGGATTTTTGACATTAACATTAGACCTCGTTTTGATTTTGAAGATGGCTGCTTATCAACAATACCCATTTCATATGGAGAAACTATAAAAAGTATTGAAATGTGACATTTCCCGGGAAAATAAAATTTTCCGAGATTTTTCTCAAAGGGAATAAACGACGAGAATCCTGGGAAAGAAACCCTAGCCATAGCCAAGGCATACATAGTATACTTTTTTTTCCTTCTTTTAGATATCTTTTGTGTTCAGGAAGACATTGCTTGAAAGATCTTGTAGACCCAATGTATACACGGTCTCTACTAAACCTGTTATCCTTGAGTGGAATTTTATAGTTCCCCAGTGTTCTTTTGATGTCTGCTTGATGCTTCTCATTCCTAAACATTTTAAATGTATCAGGCTTATGTCTGTAAGTGATTTCTGTATTAGTATATGCTTCCATTTCCCGATATAAAGACGTTCATTTGTTATAATAATAAGGTAGGGAGATATATCATTCTGTAGAATATTTTTATTGGAGTTCTATTCAATTCAAAAATCTGCCTGAAGACAGTCCTAGAAGTGGACTGAAAACATTAGTGATAATTTTCAAAAATAAGTGCAAAGTGCAATAAGGTTAGTACATTTTATTTATAATTAATGCTTTGTTTAGTGGATTGGTTTTTTTTTTCATAATTATCAATATAGTAGAACCTGCTAATTGTAATCACAGATATTACTATCAGTTTTCTAAATTAAAATGTCCCAAAACACATTTTTAAAAAATTTAAAAAATTAGAGTTTTAGTTATAGTTTTTATCTGAATATAAATTAGCATTTTTAAATCATCTTTTTACATTCTAACTTCAACACATGACTGATAATGTTAAATTATCACCAATCTCAACCAGTACTTTAAGCATTGCTTTAATTTGTTATTTGCACACAGTAGTTTAAATTGTTTGCATTTCTGACTTTAAATACACATTAACNTACTTTTATCAAATAAAAAGACAGATTGCTGATTTTCAGCTGATAATTTTGAAAATTGTTTGAAATTTTCATAATTTTATAAAAAAGTAAACCACATAAAAGTAAAAATAATAACAGTTATTAAAGAAATTATTATGAAACTGAAAAATATTTCTACAATTAAATAGACTTATATACTTAACTGGAATTTATACTATATATAAAGTTTTTAATTAGCTTTTTAGACCTAACTTTATTGACAAGAATATGTTTTGTTTATAAAATCGTACTGCCTGCTGTGTTACCAGCTTAGAGGTATGAAGGAGTACATGTCAGGAGTTGCAATTTGACACAGAGTATTAGGTGCCCAAATCATGCGCACATAAAAAAAACCAGACTTATAGATACTCAGGGAACCTAGAACCGAGTCAAAATAAAAAGAAAATGGTGACTCTCTCTCTACAAACAAGCAAATTGAAGTCAGGTGGTGAGAGTACTACGCACAGTTGTTCTAGGAAGTGGACTCTGATCCTAGGACTGAACATGTAGTATTTTCTTTGACAAATAAAATTTGTAATCTAATTTTGTAAATTTGGGAGTGCTTCAAATATGACATTAAAACAGGGTTTTATGTTGTTACAAGTAGGTTTTTTAACATTAACTAGTATAGTAAAATCATGGAACCGATAAAAATTTGACATTATGTTAGGATTGTTGTTAAATCCGATGACGTTATAATCGGGTTAAACTGTATATTGTTTGTGAAAAATAAAAAAATAATTTCGGATGATACAATAGCCATGATTATTTTTTCAAAAACGAAAAATTTTCGTTATGCATTGACAAAAATTCAACCCAGGCCAACATGCAGAACATGCCAACAAGAGAGAAATTTCAAAATTGGATAAGTTAATTTCATCGAAAATGCATCGTGGAAAACCTCGTGGTCATGGCTGGCGAAGTTTGAACAATCGCGCCCAAAAGCAGTGATACCAAAGAAGATTGGAGGATGAGAATGAGATCCCCCTTGAGCGCCAAAGCGATTCTGCTTAGTAGTGAGTCTCCGAGACATAGTCTTGTCCCAAATACGGGTTTGCTGTTTTACTTGTTTTTTTAATTCAAGAAAAAATTTCTGTGTTTTGAATGAAACAGCTCAACTTGTATAAAATTTGTATAGTTAAACAATATACAAATGTAAAATAATTTTGTTCAATACATTTCTTCTTTTCATATGCCATTATTAGAAAAAAATAAAATAATGCTTATTTCTTATGATATAAAAAACAACTAATTATTTTTACATCTTCATTTTTCAAATAATAAATCTTATATCATGCAAAAAAATTTTCACATTTTCAATGTTTTATTTGGCCTTGACATTTATGGATAAAAGCATATCAGTTCCTCTGATATAAATGCTTCAACATTATTATGAATTGCATAAATACTATTCATAGTCATCTCCTGTTTTCTGAACAACAGTCTTTTATGGATAATTTAGAAAACAAGCAAAACACTGTAGGATGACCTTAATGTAATCAAAATGTTATATAAGAAGGAAATAATCTTTCTGCACTCAAAGCAACATTTGTATTCTTCTTTCTAAGCCATTTGATTACTTGCTATGAAACTCAGCAGTTGCATTAAAATGTACTCCTAAATTACATTACACATGCCATACCAAAAAATTCACTGGATTTCCATATATAAATTAATTTCTGTCTACAATATTAGTGTGTTTAAGGGAGCATGATTTTGTTCATCCACTTTGAAACTTAATAACTCCTGTGCCTTTTGTCGAAAATTTCTGAATTTCATAGGAAGGTTTGTGTATTAGGGGATTGATGCTATTAAATTTTGGTGATTAAAAGTTAAGGTGTGGGGATATAGATGGGGTTGGGTGTCATGTCTCAAGTACGGTTGGATTTAATGAAGATTTTACTCATGATCAGCATTTACAATTTTTTTTAATAAAACTCTTCCTTACCCCAAAAAATAAGCTTTTTGCCATTTTATACTAATTAATTATATAAAAAGTTTTTAAAATAAAATATAACAGATGGTGCAACATGCAGTTTTAATTGTTGTTGCCAAGAAAATTACACAACTTATTGCTGGATTTTTTTGCAAACAGATTATAAGTCTTGTTTTTTTAATGAAACATTATAAAATTAAATAAAACTTGCTATTTATGAATTATGAAAATAATTTAATTTAAATTTTCACAATAAAATATTTCAGATAATAAATCTTATATTACGCAAATATTGTTTTTAATTAAAATATATCTTAATATTACAAATTTCTTAAAGATTTATATAAATAGACAATATATTTGACAACTTTATAAAGTAAATATCACATTACTAAAATTTAAGACTCTTTAATTATCTAGTATTAAAGTGCTAGAAACTAAGTGCTAATTTAGAAATTAAACAACATACTAATTTAATTAATTAATGTTAGTAAAATAACCTATTACTTTCAATATAATAATAATTTTATATATACATCATCATCTTACCTATTGCAGGATTAATGAATCTTAAAAAAATTACTGTTCCTACAGCACTTATATGTTGTGGAAAATTAGGGAATCTTTTATTTAATACTTGATACAAGCAATGACACATACTACGAAGCTGAGGTGGAAATCTAGAGTAAAAATAAAAATATATAAATAAATTTAATGTTATAATGTGATAAACAATTAATATTTTTGAATGATGTTGAATAATATGTTACAAAAAGAAAATTACATAAAAGATAAACATTATTTTAATAATGAAAATAAATGCTTATAATTTACTAAAGTGAAATTATTAGTAAAACATAAATAAGATTTTCAATCAAGAAGACAACATTTTAACCGCTTACAAGAGAACTAAAAAAAAAATTCATTAATTAATAGGACTTCTGAACAATATTCATCTTTCACTTTACATAATATTGTTACAAAAAACATAAGCATGATTTGAAGTACTTTGAAAATCTTAGAAGCATATCTGGGCTCCTAAGGTGAAAGTTTAGGGGGTCAGATTGGAAACACAGGATACAGGAGGATACAGGTCTAAAATCTCAAAATCCTATTTAATACCCAATTCTTCGAGCTTCTCTTATTAAATGAATATTCAGCCATCAAAAATCTGTTTTGCAGATATATTTATAAAATTACTAAAAAGTAAGTTTTTGGTTAAGATAGATTATATAACTGAAAAACTAGTTAATGTACACAATACTGTATATTTAAAGATTTGCTAATGAGACTTTTTAAATTCAAATAATTCAAATTATGTAAAAAAATATCTTTAGTAAATCTGAATTGAACTTTTCAGTCAGAAAAATAAATTTGTTTTTGTTTATGATTATTACTAATTTCTCTTAGTGGATATTTATATCCATGTTTAATATCTTTTTATTTACTAATAAGATATTAAATATGGATATTATATTTACAAAGAGAAATCAGTAAAAGTGAAGTATTTTGGTGACTTATTGGAACCTATAAGACTTCTTTTTTTAATGTAAAATAATTGTATGTTAACCTTATTTGGTGTTTAATTAACAAAGATTACTCAGTTCCTGGTTCTTTAATTGATTCAAAAGTAATATTGATATATTGATACTTTTAGAGTATCAGTACATAAAAAATTAGTGCTTTTTCTGCTTGTATTGATACCCTAAAGCAGTGATGCACAACCTTTCAGTACCCAAGGACTACTCTCACTTGAACCAAAAGGCAGACAAGCCACAAGGTAGTTTTATTCTCTTACTAAGGAGTACCCTCCTTAGTAACAATTTGCACATTTAACAATTTAAAACAATTTGCAGTTTATTTGAGGGAAGATGATCCTTAAAACTAACTATAATATTAATTGAGGAGCTTGGTGGAAAAACAGTGCATTCTGCTAAACTACAAAGAAATGAGTTATTAACAAATTTGAATTTGTGCATCATTGATCTAAATTCAAAGAAACTTTCATCATTCAGTTGTATGTCAGTCCCAGAGACATCTACATTAATAAAATGTTGCATATTGAAGTGAATTAAAACACAAATCATCTTGTTTCTTGAAATCTTTCTAATGTGGAATATATTGGTTTTCCACCAAGCTCCTCAATTATTTCTTATTTCTATTAATATTAATATAATTTGGCAATATCATATATGTGGCAAATATTGCACCCTATAATAACACAACATTAAAAACAAATATCATCATCCATCAAACTAAAAATGCCACACTTGAAAAAATGTTTTGAAGTTACAGACACTTGTAATAAAATATACTTATTGGAAGAACTATCTTCATTATAAAAAAATAAATGTAAATAAGTTACTGATAGTAACTTGTTTATATTTCCTACTCTACACTGATAAATCTTATTATTTATATAACTACTGTAAACTGGTAAGCCTTACTATAGTTTATTTTAATAATCCTAATGAGAAAATTAACATTTTTTTTGGTCAATCTTTTGATATTAGGTTTGATAATGTACACAGTAATCTGCAAGTTTCCCTCCAAAAGTTCACCAGTTAGATAGGAATGACTTTTTGTTTTAATCAAATAGTTAATAAATGACTAACTTTAAAACACATTGACTTTACAACAAAATGACTGATAAAAAATTGTGATATTGCCAATGTGCTTTGAATTTATGCCCTGTATTGAATTTCAAATTTTGGCTTCTCTGGACCCAAAAAATTTGAAATTAGTTAGTTTAGGCTGAATCCATTGGTTTCTCTGAATGAATCTGTAATATCTGATGCTTATCAATCCATTTTGGACAATTCTGCACTACCGACATTATTGCAACAGTTTGGAATAGGGGCTTAGCTCTTTCGACATAACACAACTTGTGTGTTATACTGAAAAATCAAAGTACATAGCTCTGTGGTTTCAAAAGAATGACATGGAAGAACTTATCTGGTTAACTGAAAGCCTGACCTCAACCCCATAGAATATTTATGAGATGAACTGGAGCAATGACTATGTACCAGACCAACCTTGCCAACAAGCACACATCAGTTGTTCCAGATGCTATAGGAATAATGGCAAAAAATTCAATCAAAAGTATATCAAAACTTACAAGAAAACTGTCGGAGTGTCTTCTAATAAATTTTAATAAAATTTAGTTAATAATTTCGTTAAAAGTATATAAACTCTATTTTAAATTTGTAGCATTCACTAAAAGTGTTGATCAAAGTTATTAGCAATCAAATGTTGCACTACTTTATACTAGTTTAGCACAATTATGCAAATTTTTAGAAGTGAAAGGGTTGCGGAGGAAGACGGCGATATTACATATAGAATAAATTCTGGAATTTTCAAAAATGGTTGAAGAATTAATAAAATTTAGTTAATAATTATGTTAAAAGTATACAAAATTTTATTAATTATTCAACCATTTTTTAAAATTCCAGAATTTATTTTATATGTAATATCGCAGTCTTCCTCCGCGACCCTTTCACTTCTAAAAATTTGCGTAATTGTGCTAAACTACTATAAAGTAGTGCAAAATTTGATTGCTAATAACTCTGATCAACACTTTTAGTGAATGCTACAAATTTAAAATAGAGTTTGTACACTTTTAACGTAGTTATTAACTAAATTTTATTAAAATTTATTAGAAGACACTCTGACAGTTCCCTTGTTAGTAGGAAATCTATCCTGAAGGGTCAGTGCTGTAATACCAGTAAAAGAAGGATCTCTGGAGTAATAGCAGCAAAAGGAGAATTATGTATTCTTTATCAGCAACAGCTTATGCAACAGCAGGAAGAACCTATAAGCATCTTGATACTTTTGACAAGTGTACTGCTGATGTACAAAAATTAATGATAAATCAAATGTTTGAAAGTAAGGAAAATAAGTTTTAATTCCAGAAGAAAAAGTTAGGACACGAATTAAAATAAATAATTATTTTAGTACAAAAAACAATTTATTTTCATTAAAACATTGCAAAGTTAATTTAATATAAAATTCATATTAAAACATAATTTCAAAATAAAAACTAACTTATCTGCTGAAGAAACAATTGCATTAAAAACTTTTTGAGTGAGAGAGAGTAGATTTCGGCGATTTTCTTCAACATCTTCACCTGTTTCCAACCTATACTCATTATATATTTTAATATATAAGTAATTAAAAATCAAATATTTATTTTTATTTCATAAAATGAAAAATACCTTGCTGAATCTACTTCATAACTTATATTTGGCTGTTCTAACAAAGGTCTGATAAGTGGTTCTAATAAACTATGTAAATAACTAGCTCCATATATTTTAAAACAGAAGGCCATTATTTTACTACCAAGACTGTTACCACGAAACAATGTTTGCATACAGTCAGAAACTTCAACCTGAAAATAATAATTTTATTTTTTTAAAAATAAAACTTTATAACTTATTTTAAGATTTAACTGGTTAAATAAACTAAAACAGTAAATAACTATACCTCTTTATAAAACATGTTCCATAATAATGGTGATAAAAGATGTTTAGCATCAAATAAGGTTACAAAAACTCTGGCTAGTTCATCCTATATAAAAATAAAATACACACATATATTAAGATGTAGATATATTTTAACTAAAATTTATGGTTTTTATTTACAGATTGTGATATATGTATTAAATATATACTTATGTGCACTAATAAAATAAAATTCTTATTTTCTTTACTAATACATTTGAAATATCAAACTGAAATATTAAAAACAATTTTAAAACAAAGATAGAATTATTTTGAATGTACTTTAAAATTTTTTGAATCCTAAAAGCACATATAAATAAAAATATGTAAAACTGAATACAAATTAAGTTTTTGTTTTCTCATTTATACAATATTTAATTATCCAATATTGCCTAATTAAAACTTTTCACATTACAATGGAAGGAAATTCGAGTTAACAATCCATAATTTCTTTGTTTATCAAATGTTAATTTTTTTAATTTTCAAAGTCATACACATACATATTTAAAAATATCTATTAGTATAATGTATAATGTGTGATGAAATTTTAATAAGTAGATCTTTCTGTAAAATCATACTAATGCTTATCACAATATCTAAAAAAAAAAAAAAAAAAAAAAGANCTTGCTGAATCTACTTCATAACTTATATTTGGCTGTTCTAACAAAGGTCTGATAAGTGGTTCTAATAAACTATGTAAATAACTAGCTCCATATATTTTAAAACAGAAGGCCATTATTTTACTACCAAGACTGTTACCACGAAACAATGTTTGCATACAGTCAGAAACTTCAACCTGAAAATAATAATTTTATTTTTTTTAAAATAAAACTTTATAACTTATTTTAAGATTTAACTGGTTAAATAAACTAAAACAGTAAATAACTATACCTCTTTATAAAACATGTTCCATAATAATGGTGATAAAAGATGTTTAGCATCAAATAAGGTTACAAAAACTCTGGCTAGTTCATCCTATATAAAAATAAAATACACACATATATTAAGATGTAGATATATTTTAACTAAAATTTATGGTTTTTATTTACAGATTGTGATATATGTATTAAATATATACTTATGTGCACTAATAAAATAAAATTCTTATTTTCTTTACTAATACATTTGAAATATCAAACTGAAATATTAAAAACAATTTTAAAACAAAGATAGAATTATTTTGAATGTACTTTAAAATTTTTTGAATCCTAAAAGCACATATAAATAAAAATATGTAAAACTGAATACAAATTAAGTTTTTGTTTTCTCATTTATACAATATTTAATTATCCAATATTGCCTAATTAAAACTTTTCACATTACAATGGAAGGAAATTCGAGTTAACAATCCATAATTTCTTTGTTTATCAAATGTTAATTTTTTTAATTTTCAAAGTCATACACATACATATTTAAAAATATCTATTAGTATAATGTATAATGTGTGATGAAATTTTAATAAGTAGATCTTTCTGTAAAATCATACTAATGCTTATCACAATATCTAAAAAAAAAAAAAAAGAGAGAAAATTAGATATGTATTAATTCTGCTAATTAATATAAAGAAATATTTGACAAACTATCTAAAATTAATTTTGATTTTTCAAGTCTTTTTATATTACAGTAAAATCTGCTTATCATACACTCTGGAACTTGCCTATACTGATGACGATAATCAACTGATAATACTTACTTGTTAGCAGTGTAAGTAAATAAAACTACAATTAATACAAATTTTGATCTTATCAAATTTAGCATTAAAAATATACGTTAAAACAATTAATGAATGTGCTACTTATTGTATAAATTATAATGATTGTATTGGTTAATAATTTATCTAGTATAGTTTATCTGCTGCTTTTGTAGTAATGCCTTTACTAACAATTAGCATATAATTGAAGAAATACCAACAATTTAAACTAATGTATTTTAAGTAAATAATGATTAAACTGATCCGTGTTTAAAGCACCAGTGCTTTAAATATTAAACATGGATCAATTATGCATTATCAGTTATATGTTTAGGTTGATAGAACAAGGATTTTTTTTCTCCTAAGACAACAATAATTATAACCAATACTATTTACAATAAGTGAAATATTTTAACTTATATGTTTTGAGATATGCTAATTTTGATATTATTAAATAACTAATAATGATATTTTTGATTACACTAATTTTAATCTACCATATAAGTGTATTATATATCAATGATTTTTTATTGCTTACATTTAGCACATACAAAAATTATCAAAACTCAGACTATCTTTGTGTATTTCAAATAATTCACTGTTTATAAAGAACATTAAAATAAAGAATGCATTACATTATTCTGAATACAGAAATCATGGATTATTAATATAAATTTGTGGTGATTATTTCTTCATTCTCAATAAAATTTTCATATTTTTGTCAATTATAACTATAAAATTTTAATCAAACAATAATTAAGAATAGTTCTTACTTATCAGTTAAAGATTTGTAGTTTTTCTTTTAGGTTTCATTAAAAATTAAATCAAATTAAATTTTTATTTCTTAAAGAATTTAGAACATGTTTGGATAACTCAAATTTTAGATTCTAAGCATTCTAATAATTGATAATTGTTCTTGAATTACTAAAATATTAATGTTCTTAACTATTAAAATGACAAATGTAAGATGACAATTTATAAGATAAATAATCATTGAAAAATATTTTACTGATTATTTATGATAAGATTAATAAATATTTGAATAAAGTTACGTATGTTATAAAGAAAACTCAAATTATGTTTACTACTTATTAAAAGACATATATAAAAAATTTTGTAGTAGTTTACTTCTTAAAACAAAAACAGGTAATTATTAAACAAAGTAAAAACTTTATTCTTATGTAAATACTCATTTTTTTGCAATGGAAGGAAATTCGAGTTAACAATCCATAATTTCTTTGTTTATCAAATGTTAATTTTTTTAATTTTCAAAGTCATACACATACATATTTAAAAATATCTATTAGTATAATGTATAATGTGTGATGAAATTTTAATAAGTAGATCTTTCTGTAAAATCATACTAATGCTTATCACAATATCTAAAAAAAAAAAAAAAAAAAAAGAGAGAAAATTAGATATGTATTAATTCTGCTAATTAATATAAAGAAATATTTGACAAACTATCTAAAATTAATTTTGATTATTCAAGTCTTTTTATATTACAGTAAAATCTGCTTATCATACACTCTGGAACTTGCCTATACTGATGACGANTATTAATTCTGCTAATTAATATAAAGAAATATTTGACAAACTATCTAAAATTAATTTTGATTTTTCAAGTCTTTTTATATTACAGTAAAATCTGCTTATCATACACTCTGGAACTTGCCTATACTGATGACGATAATCAACTGATAATACTTACTTGTTAGCAGTGTAAGTAAATAAAACTACAATTAATACAAATTTTGATCTTATCAAATTTAGCATTAAAAATATACGTTAAAACAATTAATGAATGTGCTACTTATTGTATAAATTATAATGATTGTATTGGTTAATAATTTATCTAGTATAGTTTATCTGCTGCTTTTGTAGTAATGCCTTTACTAACAATTAGCATATAATTGAAGAAATACCAACAATTTAAACTAATGTATTTTAAGTAAATAATGATTAAACTGATCCGTGTTTAAAGCACCAGTGCTTTAAATATTAAACATGGATCAATTATGCATTATCAGTTATATGTTTAGGTTGATAGAACAAGGATTTTTTTTCTCCTAAGACAACAATAATTATAACCAATACTATTTACAATAAGTGAAATATTTTAACTTATATGTTTTGAGATATGCTAATTTTGATATTATTAAATAACTAATAATGATATTTTTGATTACACTAATTTTAATCTACCATATAAGTGTATTATATATCAATGATTTTTTATTGCTTACATTTAGCACATACAAAAATTATCAAAACTCAGACTATCTTTGTGTATTTCAAATAATTCACTGTTTATAAAGAACATTAAAATAAAGAATGCATTACATTATTCTGAATACAGAAATCATGGATTATTAATATAAATTTGTGGTGATTATTTCTTCATTCTCAATAAAATTTTCATATTTTTGTCAATTATAACTATAAAATTTTAATCAAACAATAATTAAGAATAGTTCTTACTTATCAGTTAAAGATTTGTAGTTTTTCTTTTAGGTTTCATTAAAAATTAAATCAAATTAAATTTTTATTTCTTAAAGAATTTAGAACATGTTTGGATAACTCAAATTTTAGATTCTAAGCATTCTAATAATTGATAATTGTTCTTGAATTACTAAAATATTAATGTTCTTAACTATTAAAATGACAAATGTAAGATGACAATTTATAAGATAAATAATCATTGAAAAATATTTTACTGATTATTTATGATAAGATTAATAAATATTTGAATAAAGTTACGTATGTTATAAAGAAAACTCAAATTATGTTTACTACTTATTAAAAGACATATATAAAAAATTTTGTAGTAGTTTACTTCTTAAAACAAAAACAGGTAATTATTAAACAAAGTAAAAACTTTATTCTTATGTAAATACTCATTTTTTGGTAAATTTTTATTATTTTTTGAAAATTTGTACAGATGAATTTAATCAATTAATTATATGAAAAATTTTATAAAAATAATCCATAATTTTTAATAGATATAGTACATCAGGAAACATTTTAAGTGTATGATTTGTTTAACTTAACTTACATGTTAGCTAAAACAAAACATGTAGTTGTAAATACAAGGTCTGTTCAAAAAGTATCGGACCTTTGGTCGGCAAAAATAAATTTATCGATTTTGAGGTAAGAAACCCTAATCCCCTTCAAAGTAGTCTCCTTGGTAATGCATACACTTCTCCTAGCGTTCCTGCCATTGCTGGAAACACTGCTGGAACGCATCTTTTGGAATGGCCATCAGCCGGTCCGTCGGATTTCGCACGATGTCTTCTCTCGACTAAATTCGGGTTCCTTTTAGTGGCATTTTCAGCTTGGGAAATAGCCAAAGGTCACACGGAGCCATGTGGGGAGAGTACGGAGTGTGACGAACCACAGGAGTATTGTGTTTGGCGACGAAAGCCCGAATCAGATGCGCAGAATAAGCGGATGCGTTATCAAGATGGAGCTGCCAAGTTCTGATTGACCACTGATCTGGTCGTTTGCGTCGCACTGTATCGGAAAGATGACGAAGGACCTCCTGGTAGTATTCCTTTGCGATGGTTTGGCCTTGTGGTGCATACTCACGACACACCACCCCACGAGAGTCGAAAAAACTGTCAACATGACCTTTGATATTGCTGCGGACCTGACGCGCTTTTTTTGGCCTCGAGGATCGTCCCCGAAAGCCTGCTGAATCTTGCGAATGGTTTACACTCGGGTATCGCCAAGGTTTTTGGCAAAATTTGATGTAATATCGCTGCTCACGTTGTTCAGTCATTTTCCAGCTTAGTGGAATCCGACGAGAGCGCGCTACATGACCTCACTCATAGGCCGATTGCCAACGACTGACGCTTCTTGCAGGCGGGAAAAAATTCAGGGCTGTGCATGACTGTCCTCTCCACAACTGCACCGAAGGAGGCCTCTCGCACATCATTGGTTTAGGCGGAAAAAAAAGGTCCGATACTTTTTGAACAGACCTTGTATATGTATTACACCAGAATATCATACTTTAATGCTAGTACTACAAGTAATATATCATTTTACTATAATGTTTGCATGATGCATATGTTGAGCAATCTATAGTACATAGGACAATGTACATAAAACATTGTTTTGATTTTGCTCTATAGCTTTTATTAACTTCATTTCTATTCATATAGACAAAAAGAAAAAAAAAAGCAATAAGTTACAATTTGTCACTTATAATATAGGTGTTCAATGCATATATTTTTTCTATAACACACCTGAATGCAATTTTCTGATTGACTAGGTATGATTTAAATGCAATTTGTAAAAATTACTAAAAAAATAAATCAAAAATTCATTTATGCTAATTGATTCTCAGATATTTGTAAATATAAAGTTTTAAAAAATTTTATTTTCAAGTAAATTTTGAAAAAAAAATTATTTGAATACTGCTAATTATCAAACTCATCAATGGCATATATAATATATAAAAAGTAATAAAAATTTCACTTATTATTGTAAAAGTTAGAACAACAGCAGAATTATGAAAGATCATTGGTAAAGACACAATTACAAAAGACTAAGAAGTGTCATATTACCAACAACTTAATCAGAACAGAGAATGATATAGAAGGCCAAAGACCACAATGGCAATGAAATAGAAAACAGGAATAATGACAATGAAAGTTCTGATGATGATGAAAGTGATGAAATATTGTTCCAAGAACTTTCCAAATTTTTTAAATTCAATTGCTGATTTTTTGTATGAAAATAAAATTAATAATAAAATGTCAATCTATATTGGTCAATCTATAAGGTCCTAATTTTTTTTCAAAAACTAAGGATTCTAAAATTGGGAGTTGACTTATATTCAGGTCAACACAATATATACACAATTTAATGGATCATTTATTGACAAAAATTCANTTAATGGATCTATTTATATTGTTTAAAATATAATAATAATACGAACTTTTTAGAACTATGATAAACTAAAAATAACAAAAATTAATTTTTGATTTATTTATTTACATTCATATCACAAATATATCTATTATGTCAATTAATCATCTTATATAAAATGAGTTAAATTCAATAGCTTAAATACAATTACATTAAACACATTAAAGCCTATAAATCATTGATATATTTCAAATGAGATCTACATTTTCAATTCTTTATTTATAAGAACAAGATATTTTAAACTGTTTTATGTGAAATTATTATAATATATATTAATATTATATTAATAATTCAATATTCCAGGATTGGATTATATATCAAAATTGCAAAATTATGTATTTTGCAACTTTGAATATTTACTTAATCAATTTAACATCTGTTAATATTTTATAGATTCTTTGTATTACAGCTTTTGGATTAATCTGATTTCAAGATAATATGTTTTGAAAATTAGTAAAAGAATCAAAATGCATTAAAACATAAAAAACTTATAAATCTGCTGTTATAAAATTAATTCAATTATATCAATAAAATAACATATTATTTCATTGAAATTTATATAATGTATTTTATTTAAATACATAATTGCTTTCATTTAATATTAAACAAAATTAATTACCATTTGAGGAGTAATAACAACACTTGCTAATGCCATAGCAATAGGAAGTTCTCCTTTATCTCCAATCATTGTAACTAATTGCACTAACTGTTCATAACGATCTGCTAACACTGTTTCTGCTAACATATCAAATTCTGTTCCTTGTTGTAAAATTTTTGTTAATACTTCCATAAAAGCAGCTCTAGTTTGTAAATCTTTATGATAACCCAGACCTGCAAAGTATTTGAAAAATGCATAAGTAATAAAAACTTTAAGACAAATGAAATTTCTTGAATATTTCTAAATATTTATGATAAAATTTAAATACAGTATATAAATTTAATATCAACACAATGAGATATATCGAATATCAAGAAGTTTTCAGAAAATTAATGGCTGAAAAGCTAAATATATGCAATAAACCTCTCACATCTAAAATAATGTCACTCACAAAGAGGAAAAAAGAAGACTATTTTCTTGAATATACTATCATTGAAAGAAATTTATAATTTTAGGCTAATTTTAAAAAAAGCAACAACAGGTTGAAACAAGTATAATTTTTTTGCTTTGAGAAAAGTTTAAAACTTATGTAATCTATTGGAAAAGTAAAAAAGATTATATGTCATTTTCTTGTGTCATTATATTCTCTTCATGAATTATCTGAATTGTAGAAATATTGTAAAGTTGCTCAACAGTATTTTATATTCCATGTGCAAGAAATAATGTGATGATGATACTCTGAAATAAGCAATACGAAGTTATCAATTTATGACAATGCTCATTTTTACAGTACCAATATGACACTATTTTCATTCACTTCTCTAAACACTATGCTATTTACCCCACACTGCTCTTTCCTCCCTCTTTCTTACTCCCATTTTCACCCCAGGTTATACCTATGAATGGCACCTGGTTTTCACAAATTTTCAATCCAACACTAATTCAAGTAACAATATGACAATATAATTGTTGGAACAGTTACATTATCAGCAGTTAGTTCCTTTCTATAAATAAGATATTAGAAACAATTTATTTTCAGAAACTTCCACTAATTTGACTTAAAAAAAATCATCACAACAATAAATTAATTAAAAATAGTTGTGATAAATTGCTGCTTTCATCAAAAAACTCTCCAATAGCTTTTTATCAATTGCAAAAAACTGCCTTAACTTTTTATCTGATTCTGTTGTAATATTATGCATTTAATTAAATATTTTAACATTTCTTGTTTTAGTTGAGAGGTTATGCTGTTTTCACAATCACTATTAATCATAAATGTCTATTTCTAATTGACATATATCATAGTTGATTTTCAGTACTAAATATAAACACATTACAAATACAAATTCTTTCAAGAACAAAATATGATGTTCATTAATTGAATAGAAATTCCAATACATTTTCTACTTCATAATTAAAATATTGTAACTCTGACTTTTAATTTAAAATTATTTAAAAGTAAAGCAAATAATGTGAGCAATATAAGTGATGTAAAAAGCACTTCAGATACTATTATAGTTTCATGAATCACTGATATTCCACATAAAAATGATAACAATTATAAATTTTACATTTTGTGTTTGTTTATAGAAAGAACAGAACAAAACTGGCAAAAAGTTTTCATTATTAAACGGATATGATATTTTTTAATAAATATATGTATCAATATGTAATATATAATTATTATTTTGGACAATTTACAAAATTGCTGAAACAAGTGATAGTATTGCATATCAAATATGCTACAATTTAATATGGATTACAAAACTGTAAGGATAGTACAGGTAATTCACTTGGGATTGGACATTTATTATATAAATATCTCCATATAAAATGAAAAGAGGCATATAAAATACAAACAATGATTCTTTATTCCATGATGAAGCAATTGACCAAGATATATTTCTGTGAAGTAGCAGAAATTCCTATATTAGAACTAGTCTTTAATATTAACACTGTTCGAGAGATGTAACGATTATTGTTCATAGCTACCTGAGAAAGTCTCCCATTACATTTTCTCGGAGGCAACATGACGCTTTCTCATGAACTATTAACCTCTGCATGGCCAAAATCGTCTGTGAATATCGCCAGAAATGGCTGAAAAGAGTCAGTTGCCGTTTTAGTCCTTGGAGAGGAAAGAAGTCATCACCCATTCTGTAGGATAACCTTTATCAACAATTTTTTTTTTGTGTTAGTGCACAATAGAGCCTGGATATTTCAACAGGTCATTTTGACTGGATATTTCACCCTTGGACAAATCTTGAAAAAGCCTATAAGAAGAACTATTACCTGGTTCTCCGATTTGATACAACCCTGATTGGGATATCTGTTACCGAAGGTATTTATTACCACGCGAACCTTATGTGAACTCTCTCTCTCTCTCCAACAAAACTTAAGAACCTCTGTACGTTATCCAATTTAATTTTAATTAAATCCTTGTTAAGTGTTAATTGTAGTTCAAGTCTCTTCCACATGCTGTCTCTCGATCGGCTGACATTACGAATCCGTCTGTCCACTTACAGGACCGCTTGCGCGATGGTGTGATGTAGTAATTGCCGTCTTGGCTTCTGTGTTCTGATAAACACAATGGTGTCAATCCTGACAGGGCACTAAAGAGGTGCTGACCCGAAAGGTCCCATTTTACATTACATATTATTTAAATATCACTATGCAATCAAGACATATTGAATAAAACAAGTGTTCAGTCCCAAGTGAATCACCTTGTACTTATAATAACTATGTCTAATATAAAAACCTGAAAAATCAAAAGCTTTATTTATTAAAAGGTTATTTTGAATAGAAAATCAACTAGAGTTAAAATCAAGTAAATTTATTTACATTTCTTCAAGTGATAGTTCTGTTATTAAAGCTATTATTTCTCTTTAGATACGGGACTGTATTAAATCTATGCCTACTAATAATTCTGACATTTTGTAACATTATTCAGTTCCTTTTACAATTTAATAATATTTGTGCTGAGATGGTTAAACTATATTCAGTTGTATAGATTCAAATACATTTTTAATACTTTTTATTGAAAAAAAAGAAAATACTAAATAATAAGTAATACAAGTAAATTATATAAAAATGTTTTATTTGATATTAAATTTTTTCATAAATAATTATTTATGAAAAATATGCAACCTATTGTTGGAAAATAAAATAATAAAGGTTAATATTTGTATCAAATGGCTGTTTTGTGTAAAAAAATAATTTATTGAAAATGAAATAAATCACTTTTTGCTTAAAAAAAAAAATTATACCTATGGAATGCATCAATCCACTATCAATATTTGCACTAAGAAGATTTGACATTGCTTGTATTGTACATGTCCTTAGTTCACTAAGTTTAGATGACTGTACACGATGTCTTGCAACATCTTTATCTTCAGGAGTTTCACTACATTCATTGAGCAAATTCATAAATAATGTGAAATATCTGGAAAAAAATATTAAACATTTTTTATTGCATTAAATTTTTCTTTTAGATAAGCATTATATAAAATTAAATCTATAAATTCTCAAATTATTAAAATTAAAAAATTTCATTATGATTAAAAACTATATTTACTTTAAAAATAACTGTGATTTAGCTTCCAATAGATCTCCTCTGTCACTCTCTTCAGGTTGAAGAGGTAATCCTCTTAGCAGAGCAGCAACAGCTTGCATACATGCCTGATCTAAATCTCTGGTAAGAGCTGTTACATCACCAGAACCAGGTGGTGCAATCTGATGGCTGTTTCCCATCACCCAATCTGTTAAATATTCAACCATTTTGTTGCGAAACTTCATTTCTTGACGGAATGCTAAGTCATCTCTCCTTGACATCATAGCTTCTACTAGCTGACAAAGTTTTGTCTTAATATGAATAGCATGAACTGTAGTATCTAAATGCCTAACATATCTGCAAACAAACATTCATTCATTAAAATAAAATTTAATTTATTTACAAGTAACTATTTAAAAATTATATTAAGTTTATTTAGATGAATAGGAATTTTATTAGTAAACATTTTAATAAAAATTGTTATCAAGAAAGAAAATTATAGAAAGATGACAGAGATGGGAGAGGAAACATTTCCTTTAGATGAATTTTAAACTTTCATACTTGATATATACCAAACTACTTTGAAGCAGAAGTTTTGTTAGAGAAAGAAAAATACAATTATACTAAACATAACCATAAAGAAACTCAAAATTTTAAAATATTCAGATATTCACTGATACTATTTTTAAAAAAATCCTATCAAGATCAATTAAAACATGGAACTATTTTGTAATTCCTTTTTGAAAATAATACCAATTTCAGAGTTTTTTTCTAAAACTGGAAAAATTTAAATTGATAATTAAACATTCAGATTTAATTGCATTTATTTCAGATCATCATCACTTATGATTAACTATTAACAATAAACATCAAAAAATAGTAATAAAGTAGCAAATAAGAACAAATACTATATCAAAACTAATTTTATATTTAAATCTTTATAAATGTTTAATACAGTGTAACCATTACTGTATTTGCAAACATGATATAATTATTTTACATCTAAAATGAAATTATTACTCACCTCACAATTGCAAGCATCATGCCTTCAATACTAGTAACCCCTAAATGTTCTGTTGTATGATCAACTTTATTTTCCAGTACACTTTTCATAATAAATATAATATGCTCTATGAACTGTGTATTGGTTTCAATCATAACAACCTAAAAATAAAACAGTGAAATGAAAACTATGTAAATATTAAAAGGTGTTTTCTCTAAATTATCAGATTAAAAAAAAATAAATAATTATAAACACTGTAAAACACTTAAATTATTTTTTAATCTTTTTTCAATGGACACAATGGTTAAATTAGTCATTCTTTAACATGTATATAATAACAAGGATAATTCTGTGACACTAAATGCAGCAAATTGAGCTGTAGTATTCAATTTTGTATAATCTTAATACAGATGTTATAAACAAAATTAATACTGATTATCTTGATTTATATCTCTACTTAATAGAGCAAATCACAAGAACATGAGTTGCAAATTAAATGCACTATTTTATTTAACAATGCATATTCAAAATTTTTCATCTTAACAAATAATATAATTTTGCAATAAGGAAGAAATTACTAATATATTCTGAATAAAATAACATTATATCTCATTTAAGATAAAACTAATTGAAAAAGAATTTTTTTTTATAAATGATACTTTTATATAGCATGTTAATGTTCAATGCATTGTAAATTTAAGGAGTTGTAAAAATCAATGAGATGAGCATTTCTTTTATGAAGCAACATTGTGGTGAAAACAAAAATTGATTTAGCTATAACCTATAGAAAATTAGAATGTACCATTTCCTGACTTCTTTCTATGTAAGAAATGTATTCCATTTGTATATGAAACACCAATGGAAACAAAGAAAGAACTGCCCATCCATATTATTTCAATTTTTTATACTATCAGAAGACAATAAACTTTCTTCAAGAGAGTACAACAAAATGTTGTTTGTATCCTATATAATAAAGTTGGTAGTTACCACTTTAAATATTTATTGTAAATACAGAAAAATAGCAATAAAATTTACTTAATAATCAAACACCTTACTCTTGCTGAGAATATGTTCTTTATTAAACATTCACAAATGTTTTGTACCTTTACTACAAGTCATCTTCAAGTGTAAAATATAAACTACTAACTGTTGTAAAAATAACATTTTTAAATGGAAGTTTTCAAATTTTTACATTTGAACATATTTAAACACAAATCTTGGAACACAATATCAATTTAGACTAAATGAATGTATAACAAAACAAAATAACTAATATAATAAATACAATCAAAATTTTTAAATAATAAATAAATGAATAAACAAACAAGTAACTATAAATTAAATAAAATGAAGATAAAAAACAAAATTAACTCTTGGTTGTAAGGAAATTATGAACTGTTGTATCTTAATTTTTGTCTATAATTAATTTTTTATTTTCTTATATGTTCATTAGTTTAAATTAGGGGTCCCCAAACTTTTTATCCCGTCGACCCCTTTATAGAATATTTGCCTTCTTATCGATCCCCAGATTAAGTATTTAACAAAAACATTAAATCATTTTTGCATTTCTAATGTTAAGTGATAAGGAGGCCTGCATAACAACCCAACAAAAGAATTTATAGTTCCCATATTTTATAAGATCCACCCAATAACATTAACAGAAAAAGGAGGTATTTTCCACTGATTTATAACCTTAAAAAATAATAGCAAAATTATGGATAGATGGAAATTTGCCTATAATTCTTAAACCGTACGTGTCATAATCCATAAAATACACAATTATCTTTGAAAACATAACATTAGTTATATTGGATGAAAAACCTTTTACTGTCATTTTGTGACTACTACTGAATGCCTTAAAAATATGTAGACATACCTTTTTATTAAAATACAGTTGACCCCCTATAACACTAGATAATTCTGTGTTATATGAATTCCATGTTGTACGAGTCACTTAGATTTTACAAATATGTATGCCAGGCTGTGAACAGCTCACGTATTTGTAAAATCTAAGTGACTCGTACAACATGGAATTCATATAACACGGACTTATCTACAGTGTTATAGGGGGGTCTACTGTAGTTGATATTAGTGGGATGGATGTCTCTGAAGAGAAGCAGCAAGTTTATTGATATTCATTTGAAAATTGGTAAGTTTTAGTTGCAATCACCACGGTTCCTCTGTTTTGTCAAAACTGCGTTCGCGTGGCTAAAACCAGCTTCAACCACGTATGAGATTGGGAATGCACATAAGAAAGGTTCGGCTTCTGCTCTGAGCTTGGGATATTTAGTAGGAATATTGTTATTGCTCTAAAATTCAGTGAGGTTTTTATTTTTAAACAATGCTTTAGCTTCGAGATCTACACATATTTTACTCAATTCATCTTCTAAGCCAGTTTCACTACCTTCATTATCTATTTTTACATCAAATGGATTAGCAAACCATTCAGAAACATGCATATTCTCCAATTCTTCGAAACGTGCTTTAAAGTCTTCTCTTAATTTATCAAGGTGTTTAATATATATCTCCAAATCACGGTCCGAAACCTTTTCATTTTCTTTTAGTACTCGCAAGTTTGAAAAATATTTAAAATTGGATCGTGCCAGTGAAGATTTAAATAGCTCCATTTTTACTTGAAAGGCCATTTTTTCTTGCAAATGCTTCTGTACTATATTAATGATTTTCAATATATTACAATATTTTCTCTGTAAAAGACAAAATATCTACATTTAGATATAAAATACTTAGAGTGACAAACCAACTAGAGTGTAACAGTGCAATGTATGTCTGTGTATAATGAACTACCAGCATTCATAACATGTTTGCAACACTAGTACAGTTGCCAGATGCAGGAAAACAGAGTAACACATGCTTAAAGCGGCTTGAGTTTTGCTGGCATAGGCTAAGGCAAAACTCAAGTTATAACTAGGGTAGTCAGTAATGTTGTTGATCATATCCGTATTTTGAATTTTTATTGGAATATTCTATTTTTTTCCTAGACAATTTAATTGATCCTCTTTGGTATTAATTGATCCCCTTTTGACCCTCGTTTATTAATCGACCCCTGGAGAACTCTTATCGACCCCAAGGGGTCGATATGGACCACTTTGGGGACCCCTAGTTTAAATTGATATTCTGTTCCAAGATTAATATTTGAATATGTCCAAAATGTAGAAATTCGTAAACTTCCACTTAAAAATGTTTCCTTTGCATCAGTTAGTAGTTTGTATTCTGCAATTGAGGATGACTTGTAGAACAGGTTGAAAATGTTTGTGAATGTTTAATAAATGTTTTCTTAGCAAAAATAAGATGTTTGAGTGTTAATTATTTTCCTTCTGAGGATGATTTTGGGTAATAAAATTTACTGTATTGTACCAATTACTCAATATCCCAAAACACACACACAACAAAATGGAGAAGGTAAATGTACAAGTGGGATGATAATTGCCTACTACACAGGTATGTCCAAATTTTCTGCAGACCATAATTCTGACAATTTTTGTTTCTCATCTTAGGATGTTTCATGAAAATACAAGCTCATCAAATTCTACCACCTCTTAAATTTATGTTATGTTGATCATTAACATCCTGTATACAATTTTAACAAAAAATAATTTACATAGATTTTAAAATAAAGTAATACTTTTATATAATTTTATTAATATTGTTTTAAAATTAATTGTTTCAAATATTATAATAAGTAATTCTGAGGTAATATTTATTATATTAAAAGTATCAAATATAAAAACATTTATTTTAAATAATATTTTATTATTTTTAAAACTAAATTTTAAAACAAAATATTTATAAAGTACCTGTCCTTGTGGATCAAAAAACTTCTCAACAATTGCTTTTATTTGATCAAAAAGAATTGGATAAAGAGTAGCACTCATTTCATGTGCTACTAATTCTTTAACATGTTTTTGAATCTGTGTTCCAAATTTTTCATTATGGCAAACCAAAAGACGGAGCAATTGACCAACAAATCTGAAATAATAATAATTATTATTATTATTATTATTACAATACTAAACCAAATATCTGACTTCCAGAAAACAGATTTTTTTTTTTGAAACTAACAAGTTTTGAATTTGGTGGGCTGTATTACAGCTGTAATTTGCCATAAGCCACTTTGTTTCGTTTTCCATGGCATACATTTTGTATAATGCCAGTTCCAGTGTGACTAATGGCATTGGTGTGTTAAAAACAGTTTTGTTCTTTACTTTTCATTGTTTATTTTATACTTTAAATATATATTTATCCTGTGTCCATAAAACTAGAAAATCTAGAATGCTTCCAGAATAACAAAAAATTGTAAAATTAAATGTAAGGGCAATGACATGGCTTAAAGATTACTAGAATTAAACAAATGTTAGCCACTTAAGTATGTAAATACAGTCAAGTGGGCATAATCATGTAACATAACCACAAACACACTATAAGGAGGTGAAGCTAAGGATTGAATGAGGTAAAAGCAAGGCTGACAATGCAGAAGTTTCTTAGTGATGGTTAGGCAAAGTTAATTTGTAAGATTTCCTTGTAAATTTTTTATACATTTCCATTTCATATTTTTGCTGTCAGTTGTGTGTAGATAATTCTAAGATAGTTATAAATTAATTTATAAATCTCCAAGTGTTGGGAAAAGTTTCTTGTACATATATTTGTTTTTGGATTTGATGAAATATCTTTTTATTACCATATTTACTCTCATGTAGGACAAGGTGTGACTTTAGAGATCAAAATAAAGAAATTAGATTTATTAATACAATTCTAATTTTATTTCATTTAATCACATATAAAATACAGCAATACAGCCAATGTGAACCTTTTCGGGATGTTTCTTTTCAATAAAATCAGTCACTTTCTGATAATACCTCAAGATTTCCTTTATTGAGCGAGATCCTTCCACAACAAAGCAAACGTGCAGACTAAGACTGATGAACAGAAGGAACACGTAATCATGGCAGTGGCGCTGCAAACTAATGTAACGTCATAAGGTGAGTTTTTGTTCATTGTGCTCAGTTTAATGACATTTGCCTAAGTCATTTTAGAAACTTTTTAAAAAGTATGAAAACCAAACCTCTTTGGATAGATATTTTACCAAGTGACTTCTATCCAATGAAAGTGCTGGTGGAAATGAAGGAAAGAAAGCAAAAAGCAGTGAATAAAAAATTAAAAAAATATATAAAACAAAAAAAATAAAAAAATTAGTGTTAAATTATTGTTAAATTATGTTATGTAAGTTAAATTTTAGTATCATTTCCCTTCTCCCTCTCCTCTGATACCAGTTTACATCTCCACCATCATCTATCCTCAAAGTGCAAATAAAACTAAATTTTTTTTATCAATTATTATTCTATTATGGTTATTTATACATTTACAACTTCAAAACACATTTTTCAGTGTTTTCCTTACTAAAGTTATTTTTTTTCAATATACTACTTAGCTTTAATTTGTGTGTGTTTTTCGTGTTGGAATAGATTATTTGGTTTTACATGTAATCATATGAGGAAAAATGATTCACCTTATGACATTTTCACGATACAATCTCAGTTAGGGAATGGATTAATTTCATATCCTGAGGTACTACTGTACAGTGTCAAATTGTACGAACTATGTGAATCTGATGGTGTTATGAAAATAACAATTTACAGCAAAAAATCTGAGGGAATTCACAGTAATTTAGGTCACACTACTGATGTTGTCTTACACTTACTTGAGGACTATCTCGATAAGAGATATACAGTATATATGGATAATTTTTATAATTCTGTTGCTCTTACAATATTACTGACTATACAAAAAAGTTGTTTGTGGGGAACTCTACGAAATAACAGAAAGGGGAATCACAGAAATATAGTAAATTGAAAACTTATAAAGGGGGAGTTTATTTGGCAGCAAAATGGTCCTGTTACTATATGTAAATGGAAAGACAAATGAGAAGTCCTTACCATTTCAAGCATGCACATTGTTGAAATGGTAGAGGTGTTCAATCACAATGGAAAATGTTCAATGAAACTGAATATAATTCAAGATTACAATCAAGGAATGTCTGGCATTGACCCATGAGATCAAATGCTATCGTACTACACAGCTCTAAAAAAGACTATTAGATGACCCAAAAAGGTTGCATTACATATTATAGAGATATATATACACAATGCGCACAAACTTTTTCAAAAAGCAACTTCTAAAATAAAACTTATACAGTTTAGAGAACAATTCATCAACGTATTGATTGGAGAAGAGATTCAATCTTTTAAAAAAAAATTAGATTGAAAGAGCTTCATTATTTACAGAGTATCCCACCTACTGGGGGGAAAAAATAGCATCCGACAAAGCCATGTCAAATTTGTACCAAAGCTAAAATATACTGAGAAATGCATTATTTCTGTCCAATCTGTTCAGAGAGAAGCCAGCCCTGTGTGGAAGATTGTTTTAAAAATTATCACAAACAATAAAAATATGCTCTTGCTTTTGAATAAACTTTCTATGATTATATTTTCTATTCACTTATTAATAAATGTTCTGTTCATGTAAATCAACCTTGATATTTTGTTCTTACCCAAGGCTATCTATCATATTTACACAGATATACTACAAATTTCATTGTAGCTGCACAAATATGGCAAGTAAAAAAAACTATGAGCTAATTCGTAGGTGGTATCCTAAGCAATAAAGCAAACTACGAATTATCTCATAGTTGGCAGTCAACATGTTAAGAAACTTTTATTTAGGTCTTCATTGCGGTTGTCTTGAAAATTCCAGAGAAAGTCACAATACAAAGATTTCGAAGATGCTCTGGTATGTTGACTAAAGCAAATTCATTCATCGAATCTTCCTGTTTCAGGGCTGATACTGAAACAAAAAGTGATGGAAACCGCTGAGGTACTTGGAGTATAAACCAACTTTAGTGCCAGTGATGGATGGTCAGAGAGATACATTGCATGTACTGTATAAAGCACTACTGTATTTTCCTAATTGTAGTTTTGTAGTTTCCCCCAACTTCGTTTTAGTTGCCATATCAATAACTTGACACATTTCCACTTCACTTGGGGTGTTGACTTGACTATATTATCAAATGCACACATTAAGGCAAACAACCATGTTTGCCTTAATACATGATGAATGGAAAACAAAACCAAAACATTATGATGTGCACAACCGGAAAAGTTTATTTTTAATGATTCAGAATGTGCTAATATTCATTGAAAATAACAATTTAACTAATATGAAATAACTATATTTATAATCATTGTGAAGTGCTTTGTATTTCATTAATGATTTTATAAATAACAATGAACTATTTTCTGTGGATGAATGAGATGCAACATGGTTTTTAATTGATGGACATAGAATTAAACCAATAAACAAAGGAGGTGCGTCTTAGTTTGTTTACAGTCAGAGCAAACTTACAATAAATAGCATATGGCAGCATAAACTATAAATAGCTATAATGGCAGCATAAACTATACACAGTTCACAGAAATTATTGCAAAACTCAAAGAATCCTTCACTTGCATGTATAGGTTCTTGAAGCAGTGAAAAATGAATGAGAACCTTGTCTTATACGCAAGTAAATACAGTATATTTTGAATTTTTGCCAACTTTATTTTGTTATTGTACATATTTGGGCTTAAAAAAATAAATAATTTTTTTATTATTACATACTAATTATTTTGGGTTTTTGATTCATTAACAATTTTTCATTACTTATTGCCCATATAAAGTCCAGGTCTGACATTAACCAAACCCTCATTTATGTAACACATCATTAGGAAACTATTCTCATTAGGCTCTCAATAGAGGGAGATAAGGTGTTACAAAAAAATAAAATAGACACTTACTGAGTGACTGGACAATATTGCATATCTTGATTGGCAGAAAGCATGTTTCCTTTGCGGCAATCCAGTGAAAGAGATGAACATGACATACCATACATATGATACAAAGAAGGTCTGAAATTCACAAAAAGTTTAATTTTATTCTGCTCAAATATAATATATTTTTATACATTTTAATTAAACTGAACAAATTATTTTAATTATTAATTAATTTAACTAATTCAAAAATTAAAAACTATGTACTGTTCAAAATTACTTTAAATAAAATATGTAGCATTTAAAAGATATATATATAAATTATAATTAGAAACAAACCTTATTCTACTAGATGGAGACTTTTTTTGTAAGCAAACTCCACCCATAGCACACAAAAATCCTGTCATATTTGCCCATTCATTTAGTTGATCCTAATAATTAGAATTATAATAAATTTTGTAACAACATATTTTCAAATTAATTATTAAACTTCATAATATATTGAATGTCATACAATCATATGCAAATACACATAGATACTGTAGGAAAAATTTTTGAAAGTATCAGTAAGTTAATGAATATTTTTATCATCTAATATCTTATTAATATAAGTTTTTAATATATAATTTTATGAAATAATATTAAACACAGATTATTTTACTTTAATATATAAAAATAAAAAATAATGTAATGAAGAAGAAAGAATCCAATGAACAGACTGTAATAAAATTTGAAGGATAAATTCTAGAGAATTTGAAAGAACTTATCATTCATATTAATATGAAGAATACAAAATTTTTTGATAAAAAATTAACTTTAATTTTTTAATAACAGTTACGTAACACAAGAAATTACTACTCCAGTATATCTTAGCAAGAATAGATGGGGCAAAAAAAAAGACAAAGAGAAAATTTGATGATAATTTTTTCAAATATACAGTTATCATCAAACAACTGTAAATCAAAATATAAATTAACTATAAAATGCAAAGTCTAATAAAGCTATGAAAATGCTTTCTTGAGTTTTTCCAGAATCTACTGCCTAAATAAAACTAGTAATAATCTTTCATATAATTAGTTAGCTACCATTTACTATTACAAAATACTTATATATGCAAAAATTTTTTCTTTCATCTGCTGCTTGAAATTGAAACAACTTTTTTGCCAAATTTTTTCACATGTTCTAAAGAACATAATCTCCAAAACTGACTATAATTTACTTGTTAAATCTTAAATAAGAAAAATTTACTTAACTAATAAAAGTTTATCTAATAATTTCATATAGATTAATATGGTAAATGCTAATTAGTAATCAAGAAATAATTATTCAGAATGTAATTAATTTTATTAAATCTAATTATAAACAATAAATTGATAAATTATTTTTTGTTTTGAAAAACAACATAAAGTAAATATTAAAAATTCAATCAAAACTTTAAAAAGTAGGAAAATTTAAAATACCTCTAGCTCATGTTCTGTACTTTGATGAGAAGCTCTTCTTTTTCCAATAGTCCGATGAAAGCTTTCACATATCTGACCTTCTTCTAATTTTGCTTTAGGATAACTAACAAGTTGTTTAGTAACATTCTCCCAATTACGAAAAGTATCTTCCCAAGCCTTAAATCAAAAATTAAGTATAAAATTAAAATCCCATTCATTTCATAACTAGTATATTAAGATATGGATTATAAATATCTACTTACAAGAGAACAACCTTGAGTACAATGTTCTATTTTCCTTAACAATGCCATAATTCGTTTTTGTAATGCTGCTCTTCCTGTTTTACAATGAATACATTATAAATAACTTGTTTATATATATATATATATATAATACATATAGTTTATTATCATCAAAACTAAATATAAAATCTTTAATTTTACAAACCTGTAGTAAGGACAGTACTAGCAGCAGCTAATTCTTGATAAATATGATAATTTGGAAGGAGATATGTTACAGTTAAGTCGTCTTGTCCACATCGAATATCAGCTTCTTCACATAAGAGAACAAAACAAGACATCGCAACAAGTACAGCATCAATATCTATACTCCATAAATACATGAAAAATACCACCTAAAAATAATTTTAAAAGAAGAAAATATCAACAATTCTAATTTCCTTATATATACTCCATAAATACATGAAAAATACCACCTAAATAAAATTTTAAAAGAAGAAAATATAATTTTGGCCCCGTCTTTAATTAATAAAATCTCACACAACATCCATTCTGATAATATAAAACATACGAATAAAGTAGACAAACTAAAAGAATTAAGTGTTGTATATAAAATAAGGTGTGATTGTATAGGCTAAATCCAAAAAACTATATAGGTAAAACAGGTAGGCAATTAGAATTACGAATTAAAGAACATGAAGCCGCTATAAAATTAAAATATAACAATTCCCCTTGGTTTGATTACATAAATATTAATAGTTGTAAGATTGACAGGAATAACAAAACTATTACATTATGAAAAAGAAATACATAAACGCAAATTTAAAGAACATATTGAAATAATAAAAAATAGTAATAATAATCTAGTGAATTTATCGAATGATATGCAGATTGATGAACAATGGTATAATGTAATAGAGGGCGTGACTTAAACTGTAATAAGGGGCGTNTCAACAGTTCTTGAACTGTTGAGTCTGCTGAACACAACCATTATGTTTCATTCAGTTATCATTCAGCAGAAAATTACTCAACAGTTCTTGAATTGTTGAGTAATTTTCTGCTGAATGATCTCCACAGTAATGCTGTTTTGAAACATGTTTGGTATTTTGACATCACATTTAGTTAGTGTCTTTCATTTACGCTACCTATTGCTAACTGAAATCGACCAATGATGGCTGATTGCTGTTCCAATACATACATCACTCATCATTCAGCAGATGTAACTTCATAACAGCTACCAATTGAAATACCTTTTCTAAGTTACAACTGTTGACTCTGCTGAACATAGCCAATGGTATTTTCTTAATACATCCTCATATCAAAAGAGCACAAAACTAAACTTTCTTGGTTAACTCTATGCTCTGAAAATTTCATTTTTCTATGCATGTGAAGAGATGATTTTTTTATCTCTCAGGCTATTCTGTTCAATTTTTTTTACTCCTTATCCAAACCAGTCAACTAACTTTTCCTTCAAACAATTTCATAAAAAAATAGATTAAACATGAGATCAGTTTAAATCACTTTAAAGAGTTAAAGATGTAAAATTGTTTTTAAAGTAATTTTATATACTTTCAGGTAGAAAATATACTACAGTGAACTCTATTAATGTTTAAATATGCTTTGTTGCATATAGTGTGCATATTTATACATTTCTCATACAACAAACAAAAAATTAACTGTTGTATTTTCTTGTGTTTGTATTTTTAAGTAAATTTTGGTTATAGATTTTTATACAATTTTTACAAAATCTCAATTTTGGATGGAGTATTAAACATTTTAAAAGCAATTTCACATTGCTTTTAAAATGTTTAATACTCCATCCGATGTTTAAAATGTTTAAGGATATTTTTTTGAACCAGCAAAATTGCTGGTAATTGGGCTGTAATCTTAAACTGCCAAAGCTTATTAAATTCTGTTTAACTGTTCACATATGCATTGGTGCATTTTTGTTTTGCTTACCTCTACAGGTATACCTCGCCTTACGTCGGTAATTGGTTCCAGGAAAGCGACGTAAGTCGAATTTACTTGTCTCCGAATCTACTTGTCACTAGGCTAAACCATAAATTACCATTTCCGGTTCTGTATTTTATTTGTTAATGCATTTTTAATAATATATAATTAATAAGGATCTATTTTAAGCTTACAAACAAATAAATTTTAGTTTTTAATATAGTACAGAAAAAAGTAATCTAAATTTACGAATGCATGTACTGTAAATACAGTACATACTTGTAAATGTATATATTTTAATATGATTTTATGTGCTTTAAACGCTTTTCTAGTGATATTACGACTTCAATATTTGTAGCGGACAGACGTAAAGTCGAATAAAATGACTTAAACTTGATTTTTATTTTTCTATATACTTTTTTGACAAACGACGTATAATCGGGAACGACGTAAGTCGAGGTATACCTGTATATCTGAGAAACAGGAGATCATCAAACATTTAAGTGTTTACTGCCCTAAGCATTCTTTACTCACAAAACAATATTTTATCAAAATTCAGGTAAAACATAGATGAAGTATATGACAGTCACAAAGGTTTGCATGAAGCATGTGATGAATGCTGCACTGCTATGTTGTGATGTTATTTGATGAGTTGAGCCTTTTGCATGAACAGAATACTGGTTGCCATTCAATCACTGCAACAGATGAAACATCTAGTAGCCATTTTGAGGTTATTGATCATTGATGGGCTTGCCAACAAGTGTCAAAGTAAGCATTGTACTGTAGTTTCCAGCATTTACATCTTGACAACGAAGTTGCAAGATTAGGTTCCTCAGGCTCTGAATAACATATAGAAATGGCAACAAATGAAAACTACTCAAATTCAAGTAAAATGTTGTAACTGCAAAGAAGAATCCTTCCTTCATCAGATTATTGCAATTGACAAAATATGGGTCAGGTCCTATAAACCAGAAGATGAAATGCAAATTGAATAAGTAGAATATTTAATCATCTCCATATCCAAAGAAACTGCAGTAAGAACTGGGTAGGGTAAGAGTGTTAATGATCATTGCCTACAACTTCCAAGTAGTCCTCATGTCTCATTGTGTACCACAGGGAGAGGCAGTTAACACTAGATACTATAGCCACTTTCTTGATCATCATCTTAGTCCAGCAATTCATCATCAAAGGCCACAGCTGCTGCAATCACATCCAATTGTCTTGTATTTATGTTCCCAATCATTTGTCACAAGAGAGCACAATGATAAGCAGATGGCATCGAGAGATATTAGAATACCCACCATACTCACCCAATGTATGTTCAAGTTACTTCTCCTTTTTCCAAAAATTAAAGAACTTAGAGGAAAGTGCTTCTGAGCACTTTTGTTGGTAGCATTTTTTTTTGCCTTGGCCAGTTTCTCTAGGTATTGGTTTAAAACAGTGGTGTAGTGTAGTGGGGGAGGCAAAATTTCACAATAAATAATAATAATATCTTGTAAAAATTTGAAGCATTTCATATTATATTTTCGTCGTACTTATGATTCAGACCAATTGAAATGAGCACGGAGAATAGTGATACCACTGGACAGTCTGGGAATCGACTCACCATTCGGGTGAACAATTAATTTTACCTGGTACATCATGTGAAACCTGTCAACCTTTTTATTTTTGCTTGTACGATTCAAACTGTAAGTGATTTAGATCTGGGCATGCACTGCACATTACTCTTCGCATTGCAAAATGACATACGCATGCGTCAGGAATCTGTTCGAACAAACCTCACCTGCCCTCCGGGTCAGCAATTTTAATAAGGTGGCAACACTAGCACGGATTTTTCATTACTTATTCTGTGATGAAACTGAATTTTAGTCTTTTAAATTGAGATACCTAAATAAGGAGATGGAAAAATTTTCCTTTGCCCCGGGTGGCTGACACCCACACTACGCCACTAGTTTAAAATGATGCTGCTAGCAGTGTTCACTGTCTCCTAGAAGTTTGGCAACAGGATGTCCACAATTCTAATTAAAAGATTAAGACCAGCACATATTTGTTTTATTTTAGAATTAATAAGTTACAACACAATTGCAAATAGCACTTTTCATTGCTATTTTATTTGCAGTTTTATTGTTACAACTGAGATCTTGTAGGAGAAGAAAAACCCTATAAAGTAAAGTTGACTCCTCCAGTATTTGAGAAAGACTCATTTTTCAATAATTTCAAAAATCCATTAATATAAAAACTCAAGCTAGAAATCAAAATTAAATCTTTATGAAACTGTTATTAAATTTTTCTATTTTTATAACTGTTCAAGTTCCTGAAATTAAAGATATTAATCAAATTATCAATATATAAGTTAATTATTAAATAAATATGATATATTTAATTTATAAACTTTACTTTCTTACTTCCAATTTTATATGAGCCTGCTTGCAGATATTAATATTGCAGCCTAAATTTGCATATTCTTTATGACGTTGCAAAAAGGAATTACGGCATTTCAAGATTTCTCTTAGCCACTTCAATATTTCTGTATAATAATTGATTTGATGTTGAATTAATTTTTGTGAAATAGTGAACAGAACTTGAGAACTAAAAAAAAAAAATAATGCATTAGAATATATAATAATAAGAGTAATTACAATTAATTACTAATATACCTGACATCCCAAAACGTATTTATAGGTGCTTCTGGATTCCACATTTCAATATTATCAGGCTGATGTAAGATAAGTAATGCCTCCATTGCTTCATTAGCTACTTCAGGCATTGATTGATGATGGACTACTAGTACTAAACCATTTATAAGTTCAAGAGTACTACTTTGGATTTCATGACCAGCTTTTCCTTGATTCTTTAAATAATACAAAATAATTTAGTAACTGAAATAACTTCAACAATTAATATAAATTATTTACTTGACAAAACACAAAAAACTTACATTTAACATTAACATGGGATCCACATGAACTAATCTCACTAACCACAAGAGTAAATTCTTATAACTTAATGTCTCTTCAGATTTTTCTTTAAATTTGAGGGTGCTTACTTTTTCTTTAAGAGTCAAGCTCTAAAAGCAAATAGTATAGTATTAAAATACTTTTTAGTTATATTTTAAAATATTTAGTTTACATATTAAAATTTATATATGAATATCAATACTAAATTAAAGTAATTAAAACCAAATTTGAAACATAGTAAAAATATTTAATATTCAGTAATGAAATCATACTTTGTTGTTGACACACGAAAAACTTATAAGTGCCACTATGAGTCAAATAAATTTTATGTTATAGTTACACAAGATCTTGCAGTATGCATATTCTGCAGAAACTTCGTTAACATTTAATAAACAGAATTGGTTGTATTGTTACTTGTAATAAGCTCATATATTGGGCAGTCCACAGTGCTGAGGAAACCTTCATAATTGATACTCCTCTTTCTGTTGTTGAGTTTAGTCAGTTATGATAATCATTTAGTTTGAGTTCAGACAGTGTATATGATTATAACTTATAATAAACCTAAAAAAAGGGGAAAATCTTACACTATTATATGCAATACTAGCTGTTACCTGCGACTTCGCTCGCGGAAGTTTTGCAAGCAAACCCTATTTATATTCAGTATTTCAATAACCATAGTAATTGTTATATAACACCTACCACTAAGAATGATGAGAACAGCCGAGAATCAAACGAAATGTTTTCAATTTGATGAATTTTCTGGAACGTTTACAATCGTTCTATAATTGAACCAATATGCAATAACAAATTCAAATTTAAAATGGTTTGAACATTTGGTTAAAAATCAAAATATATGAAAATATTTATAACAATGTCTGAAATGAAATGCTCTCCCCCTGCTGGGGAATTCCGTCAAATCCCTTCTTAGTGTGCATTTCCATGGCGTACCCTACTAAAACGCAGTTAGAAACAAAAAAAATCGCATCTAAAATATTACAGTAGAAGCCATTCTTCCGGTTAAACCTTAATGCTCTCCCTCTTCCCCCCGCTGGGGAATTTCGAAAAATCCCTTCTTAGTGTGCGTTTTCATGACGTACCCTAACTGTGTACCAAATTTCACATCTTTAGGTTCAGCGGTTTGTCTGGGCGATGATGAATCAGTGAGTCAGTCAGGACAAGCAATTTTATATATATAGATTAATCGCCTTTTGTTGCTTCTGTAAAATTTGATTTTTGGCACTTTAGGGTATTCATATGTCAACAATGCTTTGTTAACAAGTAAATAATGTGTTAAAATATAAATCCCATATAATATAATATTTTGACACATCTGACATCAAATGCATTATCATCATAAAAATTTAATTACAGTCGACCCCCCCTATAACATGGGTTCCTATAGTTCGGATTCCTATATCATGGCGAAAAAATTGCGACAGTATTCATACAAACATGCTAAAAACTTACAATCTTTATATAAACACTTGTCCATCTGGTACCCACTTTCTCTGCTGCCCTCAAACAGATAAGATGTAGAAATAAACTCTCCCTTTTTGTTAACGTTAATTTTGGTTGGGTGAATCATTTTATAGTCTCCCAACAGTTTCCCATGTACTTTGTGCAAAAATGCCTAAAAAACAGTCAATTGAGTTTAAAACTGATTCTGTGATTAAGGAATTAGGTGGCAATATATTTCGCCATACCAAAAAAACAATTCTCTGTGTTAAGTGCTCTACACACATCAACTACGAGCGTGATACAACTAAGAAACGACTTTCGGACCATCTCAACAGTGCAAAACACAAGAAGCATAGCGTGCTACAGTCACAAACATTGTTGTTTGAAAATGGAAGCAATTTTGATAAAGAAATGCTTGAAGCATTCACCAGTGCAGATATTCTGCTTGAAAAATTAAATAACGAAAAACTGAGATTGTTTCTCAAGAAATATATGAAAAAGCCGATCAAAAGTGTTCCAGGTATTTTTTTATTGTAATTAGTTTTTTTAATGAAATGTTTATTTTATTGAAATTGATGCTGCTGTTCGTGATTGTGCTCATAATTTAGCTGAAATATGATTTTATTCGCAGTCTTATTGAGTTATTTATTTTTTTAGCACTGCGGGCACATCAAAAAACTATCTTCAACTCAGTAACAGAAAAAATTAAGGACGAAATTGATGGACATGATGTCTATTTCATTGTTGATGAAACTAGTGACAAAGTGCAATGTAAAGTGGTCAACATGCTTGTAGGAAAATTGAATGGCAAGAAAGCAAAATCAATGTTAATTGATGTGATGTTTCACTCAACAGTTGACAACATTATAATACAAGAATGTATACTCAACGTGTCTAGAAAATTGTGGCCAAATGATTTAAAATATTCAAAACTGAAGTTAATAGTGACAGGTCAAGCAAAATACATGATGAAGGCAGTAAGTGAGATTAAGAAAAATTCATCGATTTTTCCAAATGTACATCATGTCACATGTCTTGCTCACGCCTTACATAACGTTGCATTTAGGATTCAGAATGAGCACAAATTAACAAATTCGCTTACATTAGAAATGAAGAAGTTTTTTGTGAAGTCAAGAGAAAGACAAAATGATTTTAAGAATGCAAGTGGAGTTAGTAATCTTCCTCCAGAACCAATTATCACTCACTGGGGGTCTTGGTTAAACACTGCAAAATACTATATCGATAATTTTGATACTGTTGAGCGCTTCATTTTGAACTATAAACAAAAATCTCATTCAAATGCTAGAAATGTTTTGGTGAAACTATTGCAAGAGAAAAAAGTTAACCTCAAGAAAGATTTAATCTCCGTAATCTTGTCAAGCTATCAAATATTATATCATCACTGGAAGAACAAGGACTCGGTGTAGCTGAACAAGCCGAATTAATTGAAAATGCAAAAGAAATTGTTTCTGGTTATATTTTAAAAAATTGGAAAAAGTTTTGTCAAGTAATCCTGATCTTATCAAATTTATGTCTTTTGATATGAATTTAAGTGATAAAGTTAATAGCGAATACGCTCCTTTAGTTACAGTCGACGTTGAACGTTCGTTCTTATTGTATTCATCAATATTGAGTGATTGACATCATAGTTTAAGTGAGGATCATTTGAAATATCTAAGTGTAATTTGTTTTAACTTGTTTTTGAAATAAATAACTGGTGATTTTTGGGCGAATTTAAGGCAAAAAATTGGCAATTTTAGGTCCAAAATCTGGCGAAATCTTTTGGTTCTAATTATAATTCAATGTTTCTGTATGTATAGACATACAGAATGCTTGGAAAATAAATTCAATGTTTCTGTATGTATAGACATACAGAAACATTGAATTTATTTTCCAAGCATTTCATCAAACTAGAACATAATGTCTTCATGATAATAAAATGGAACATGTCCATTTTATTATTGTGCACAGAACAAAAACATTTTATAAGGTTTACAACAGAATAATACAATTTATGCTTCTGACACAATATAGTGCTATAAATTAAGACACTTGGCGGATTTTCTCATCTTTATTTAGTTGATACGTGTGGAAAAAATTACACGTTTCGAGCTCTTAAGCCCCTCTTCAGTCAACTAAAACATTTAAAAAGGATATAACATACACATAAAAAGGAATACACAAGTTTTGTAAAATTTTTAAAAAATAAAACATACCTATCCATACAGGTTTTATAAATTAAAGTAGCAGTTTACTTTCGATATTTTTTCAGCAACATCAGCTTATTCACAGTATTTTTTCTTGTAGCCNGTGTATTCCTTTTTATGTGTATGTTATATCCTTTTTAAATGTTTTAGTTGACTGAAGAGGGGCTTAAGAGCTCGAAACGTGTAATTTTTTCCACACGTATCAACTAAATAAAGATGAGAAAATCCGCCAAGTGTCTTAATTTATAGCACTATATTGTGTCAGAAGCATAAACAAATAGCAAAGCACGGTTTCATATCATCAGAATAATACAACTCAAGAATTGATAAAAATTAGAATAATACATTAATTAAAAACAATTAGATAAAATACTGATTACATTAGTAGTTTAACAAAGGCTAATATTAAACAACTTGATTAGGAAAAATATAAAAACAGTTAGTAGTTATAAAAAGTAATAATTATAATAAAAATAATATAAGCACAGATTAACAGGAACAGCTCTTAAATTGAAAAATTACAATTCAATGATATGGTAAATAAGAAGACAAATTAAACAGTTTATGGTCAATCTGTAGTATTTAAATGCAAATCTTCTGATCTATAACTATTAAGAGATGAAATAAGAATCTAAACTTAAGTATCTCATGCATAAAACATGTATCATGGATATATTAAAAATGTTTCAAGCATATAAAAGATGTGAAAAGAGCAATCATACTGATAAAACTTTGGAAGCATTTACTAGTTTTGAAAGAACAAATATAGATTGGAAAAAATGTGGTCTTTATTTGAGGAATTGAAACTCAAGCTAAATTTGTTAAGTTGTATAAAAGATAAAACTGTTAATTTAAGTGATTGCAAAACAATCTCAACATGAATTTTCATGTTGGGATAACAGCCAACTGCATGAAGTTTTTATATTTGCCTCATTAACTTTTACTTATTTAAACTAATAAATACAAGTAAAGTATTATCTTATAAATTCTCTCTTTAAATTTAAATGATTCATTTATTCAATTAATTATTACAAGCAATCTGAAGATGGCTAATAAATATATTCATTTTAATTTACAATTTGATGGAATTCTATAGATTTTACAGATTTTAGTTTTTAGACTATATCTCTCGTTTCATTTTGTTATAGTTAATATATTAGTACTAGCTGTTACCCGCGGCTTTGCCCGCGAGGATTTTGCAAGCAACCCCCATTTATAGTCAGTATTTCAACAACCATAGTAATTGTTATATAACACCTACTGCTGAGAATGATGAGAATTGCCGAGAATCAAACGAAATGTTTTCAATTTGATCAATATTCTGGAATGTTAACAATCGTTCTATAATAGAACCAATAGGCAATAACAAATTAGAATTTAAAACGGTTCGAACATTTGGTTAAAAAATCTAAATATATCAAAATATTTATAACAATGTCTCTATT